GCTTGTCCACCCCGATATATCTGCCAGTACTTCAAACTTCGACCAAAACATGTCGAAGTCGTCCACTCGGCCACGATACGGCTTCACGAATCCATCCAACTTAAGTGACGACATTTCACTGTTGACAGAAGACGCACTGTCACTAACACTAGTATGATCAGTACCACCTTCACTGTGCCTGGATACCACGGATGTACTATCCTCAGGACTCCCAGGAGTCAACAAATTTTCAATGTCACGATCACGATGTCCAGGCGCCTGCGGAGTTGTCGGTGTGCTACTGATACCCCTGCCTCGAGCGTTCCTAAGTCTAGGAGGCATCGACTACCAGGCCACAACAGCACGCTTCGTCAGCACTCTACCAGTGCTCAGCGAACAACACACGACACGTGAACGATTGATCCGGACACAATTTACGAATTCAAGAAAATTCCAATTCGAAACCACGCTCGTATTCTCCGGTCCAAACCAGCGGGGTTTCGGCACCACGTTGTTACTCCACCACTATGCTCTCTATCTCTTCCAGCTAGCACTCCAGCACACTCGCACATGCACTGAGCCACAACTATCAACAAGGAATCAAGAGAGTTGAAATATTGAAATAGTGGTAAAGTTGGGAGAAAAGAAAACTCTTCTTTTTCCACGAGATCCAAGATCCATCAGGAAAAAGGACATGCACAAAATGGCGACCATGTCGTCCATTGACGCGTAATCCTTGTTATCACAAACTAGTGCAGCGACCAAAGAAAAGACACAAGTGAAGAAGAAGAAACAGCGCTGCAGCAAGAAGATCGGATCGCTGCAGTCGCTAAAATGCACTAGCCTACTGACTGTAGTTCCACGTGAGCATGCAGTCACGTGGTCATAAACAGAGTGCGTACACACTCACGTCATACCGATACGTCATACATGACAAAAGAAAAGAAAGGAAAGTCACGCGCGAGTCAAACAAATCAAAGAGCGCGAGACTACGTACTGCAAATAATACGAAGAAGAATTTGTTTGAGAACAAATGCACAAGACGAGGAATTTGTTTGAGAACAATTGCACAAGAATATATATCTCTTCGAAACTAGAATGGAGTCCGTGATGAGAATTCCAACGAGCCTGGACGCAGCTACAAAGTAAGAATACAATCAAATAACTAATATCGTCAGAACTATTGTAACAATACAAGCAGTCGATTTACCACAGTGTTATCTCTATATTTACATGTGGTGTCCGTAATCGATGCACAGGGCAGCTTGTGGTGATCTATAAATGTTGTAGTTGTTAGTCTAACATTACACTCTTCATCACTGCATCAGCTCAACCGCCACCACTGGACTGCCTTTTTACACTCTTTTATTGACGAATGAACAAGAACACGGAAAACGACTACATCTTGACAAGACGACAGACCAAAGACTAGCTCACACAGTTTCGCGCATGCGCACAACACCACCAACCAATGACGCGTGTCCACAGCGACCAAGACGAAACAAACACGTGACACCAAATCTACCACAATATCCCGACCAAAAAAACACATACCGTCCTCGGTATGACCAAATAAAACACAATACGCAGAGAGACGCAACCGCAAACAGCAAAAGTAGCCACAGGACCAACGCATAGAGAGACGCAGCCGCAAACAGCAAAAGTAGCCACAGGACCAACGCATAGAGAGACGCAGCCGCAAACAGCAAAAGTAGCCACAGGACCAACGCATGTAGCTCCCCAGAATAAAACAGGGCAACCAAAGCCAGAAGAAAGAAAGAGAGGTGAATGTTAAAGAGAAGAGAAGAAACACTGCATTGCTGTCTAGCCACGCACACACAAAAAAAACACAGGCTAAACCTAAGCCTAAAAACCGATGAGCCCTGCCCATCCACACAACGCCAGTCAAACCCATGACTGTCACCGAAAAAAACAAAAATAAATAAAATATATACATGGCAACGACAAACAAGCAGCGAGTCTAGCTCCCAGCAATGAACCGGGGCTCACCCTGATCGGACGTTCGTTGCCTTCGATGTGGACTGCCACAAGGAGAACCAACCGTGGTTCACCATGATCAGACGCCAGTTCCCAAGACAAGTAGCAATTCAAACAAACTCCCGTATGCACGCACGCATGCACACACATAAACTCTCACCGGAAAACAAAGAAAAGAAGAGAGATATGGAGAGAAGAAAGGCGGCGCATTCCCAGCCAGCACACGACTTCGGAGCAGCAGGAAGCCAACTGCGAAGCTGATACTCCACTCGTATCAGGACAACGAAACGGCGGACGCACAGCGACACTTGAACACAGCTCAGCGGAGGGCGTCAGCTTGCCAAATCGAATTGAGTAGACGACGACGACGGGACGACGACGACGGGACACCGGACGACGACACAGCACGACGACACAGCACGACGACACAACTCCACGACGAACGTTCGAACACGGACAGGGGTGACGAAGAAACAAGGACAGTCCAGCAGTGACGGGAGCAACACACATCTCAGGGTCGTGAGCTGCGGAGGCAGAACTCCGCGTCGAGAGAAAGTTGGGCGCCAAATGTTGTAGTTGTTAGTCTAACATTACACTCTTCATCACTGCATCAGCTCAACCGCCACCACTGGACTGCCTTTTTACACTCTTTTATTGACGAATGAACAAGAACACGGAAAACGACTACATCTTGACAAGACGACAGACCAAAGACTAGCTCACACAGTTTCGCGCATGCGCACAACACCACCAACCAATGACGCGTGTCCACAGCGACCAAGACGAAACAAACACGTGACACCAAATCTACCATTGATGTGTGATCGTTGCGAAAGTGGCCCAGTCTAGATGTAATCCCTAATAAGGAAAGGTTCCAACTTTACAGTAGCACTCTAAGCACTGTATCATATCCACTGTGCCGTGCTGATGCAAACAGGGTGGTATTGTATGTGTGTGTGTGTGTGTGTGTGTGTGTGTGTGTGTGTGTGTGTGTGTGTGTGTGTGTGTGTGTGTGTGTGTGTGTGAGTGTGTGCGTGTGTGTGTGTGTGTGTTTGTGTTTGTGTGTGTGTGTTTGTGTGTGTGTGTTTGTGTGTGTTTGTGGTGTGTGTGTGTGTTTGTGTGCGTGTGCATGCGTGAGTGCATGTGCGCCGCTGCACATGTGTGTGCACATGCATGACATGCGTATGGCTGTGTATGGCGGGGGGGGGGGGGGGGGGGGTGTGTGCAGAGTGTATGGATATGTGGGCCAGTGCATGCAATACCGTGTCTAAGGGCAAATTTTTGGAATTTTTTTTCTTTCTTGAAAATCAATCACAGGGGTCTAGAGAACACCTCTGTGGAAGATAAAGTTGGATATCACATTTGAAAGTACATAGAGACCATGATTTCTATGGCATTGTCCAACATAGAATATGCCTCGTATAATGCATCATCTACAGTGTCGCTGAAAGAAGCAACAGTTTTGCGTATCAGCCTTTAGAAGTGGCCAAGACATTCAATGAAGGCTGCCGTGTTCTCCAGTCAAAACCGGGCAACGTTGTCCAGCAAGTTCTTGCGACGTTGAGCTAACAAGAACTCGCGTTCTTTTTGTGCAAAGACAACATGGTCACGGAGTGGCTCCGTTGCAGAATTCTTTTCATCCTATGCACGAGGCGGACGAATATCGTCCTGGAGCAGCTCACACTTGTTGCACACATCCATCCGTCGCGTCATGAACTCGATGGACTTGCACTTCTTAGTCCACAGATACAAAAATATACGGTAACCCAAGGTTTGCGATTCACCAGACTGCTCGACATGTTCCGAAAGGACAAACTTGTAGGCGACAGATGTAGGTAAGTTTATGGGAGATTCCCCACCTCTCCCTCTTGGTGCTGCAGGCAAAGGGCGACTGAACACTAAGCTGTAGTTCAGAATAAACTGCTGCGCTCTGTCTCCCACTTCAGCACTATATTTATTCCAAGGCACATTGCCAGATTTCCATGTGCACCAGGATGACAGCTATTGTTCTCCTTGTCCACTTGCACACAGTCATGTTCTGCCAACCACAATCATAGAGCTGAATAAACACGGTTCCACACACGATGTATCCCATCACAGTTTATCCAAATGTGATGCGCGTCCGTTCCGTTGCAGAAGCTGTCGACTGATGCACGACATGTACATGTCGACAGTCGACATGACAGGATCGTCATACGTGCAGCGCAGCCAGCACACCAATATAAAAAAATGCCGAGGTCCTTGGATTTCATCGTCGTAATGGAGGATTGCGCTCGACGTGAAGCTGCTGAAATGGTAGTTTCGAACGCAGCCACAGCCTTCGAGAATCAGTGAGTCCACAGCGACAATACTCTGAAGCGTGTCCTGCTCATCGTCGCTTGCAGAGTCCACAGAATCTCCGCCTAATTCATCCGCTCTCGACTCGCCTTCAACCTCAATGCAGGAGTCTTTCACTCCCGGATGCTTAGCTGGGGCTTCGTCAGAGTCACTGTGAGCAGTACAGCTGCTAGTTGCCGACTGCTCCGATTCACGACTCGCCAAATAAATTGTCGTCTTCCTCGTCGATAGTAAACCTTGCCGATCTCTTCTGACGCGCCGACGATAATCACGCGAGCGGCACAGCTCAACCGACGTGCTGCTCGGCGTCTGCCGCGAGTGTGTCTACTCAGAGGCCCTTCCTCAAGTGCTACTTCCAACTCCTCCTGCGCCGCTACGTCCATGATGATTGCTGCAAGTCGATCGCTTGTCGCTTCTCTTGTCGTCTTGAGATCGATTAGGAATGTAGACAAGATCCGCGATCGAGCCACAAAAAATATAACTCTTCTTTCCGAGCGATTTTCTCAAAATTCTGAAAGAAATCGGTTTCCCCCGAAGACACGTTTTCGCATGCACTGGCCCATGTGTGGATGCGTGTGGGTGTGTATGGATGTGTATGGGTGTGTGGGGGTGCAGAGGTGAATATCAAGCTCCTCAGCTAAAACAACTTCATTTTGTTTTGTTTCCACACACACCCTTGTCTGTAGATGAAGGATCTGGCTGTGATCCATACCAGGAGCCAACTGTCCTTGCTGCTGGACAAGAGCACCCAAACAAGTTATCAGACGGGGCCATCATATTTCTGTGTGCCGTTTCGTTTGCCCTGTTGATCGGCATTGTTGTGGCCCTCTACCAGTATCGCAGGACAAGAAGCGGCAAAGGGGTAGTTGTATTGCCGCATGTCTCAAGCACCATGAGCAATTACGCTGAGATCACAGATTATCAGCAGCCGCTGGCCCCGCAGCAAGCCTCGCCAAGCGATCCGAGTGACCTGTCGAGCGGCCGTCCATCACCCCCAGGCCTGGCCCATGCATCGCACAGCAACGTCGTGTCGTGGGAAGAGGAGGGCAGTAGGGTTGCTGGCTACCCGACCCTGGAGCACTCTAGGAGATATGTGCGACACCCAGGCCAGGAGGATGCCTGCACCGTGCCCAACCCACTCAATACAGTGGCAGGATGGGAGACAAGCAAGGAATTGCTGGACAAGTTGGACGGCACGATGCCCAGTGGGAAGGCAGTGATGCGTGCACCGCCGGCCTACACTCCCGCTGATCTCTCGCCCATTGTGGAATCAGAGAATTGCTGCGTCGAGTTCTTCCCACAGAACTCCACCGAGTGCATTACACAAATCGATGAGTAGATCGTCCTGCAGCGCAGATGTGCAATGTGTAATCTCTCTTCGTTTACTTCTTGATTTCCCATCGTTTCCTGTTTCAGTGTATACTCTCTAGTATCGGCAATGTCTCTGATACCTTTCTATCGTTCACATTTCGCACTTCGTCAGAATGCATGTAAGTCGAGGCAGAATGCATGTAAGTCGAGGCAGAATGCATGTAAGTCGAGGCAGAATGCATGTAAGTCGAGGCAGAATGCATGTAAGTCGAGGCAACACGTGGCTATTCACAATAGTTTACTCTTTCCACATTATTCTTTTTTTCAGTTTCAGAGTGCCTAGCTGTATAGAACGCAGAGTGCCTAGCTGTATAGAACGCAGAGGTCCGTTTCGGTCTGCATCCATCCAATGTCTGCAACGTGCAGTGTGTTCCTCTCTCAAGCTTGTGACCGCCTTCCACCCAATCACAGTAGTACTGACTACTGGTGTTAGTTTTCTGCATGCATGTGAGCAGCCATTTTATACTCTTCAGTTTCACCTTTATTAGCCGCTTGAATACTTGATGCGTCCTTTTTTACTTTTTGTTTCTACGCTGCACTCCACTTTGTGTGTTGCACATCCACCTCATAGATTTGAGTTCTGCTGTTGTCTGTTGTTTGTACCAGGGAGTGGTACAATGCAGTATTGTATTACTCCCTGGGCTGTACTCACCATTACTCTAAAAGTCATGGCCATGGATCGTGCATACAGTGTTTGCTGCACTTGCACAGGTCGCCATCGTCTCGCAATTAATTAAGGCCTTTTCTCTCCATATCCAGAAATAACTGAATCCGGCTGGGTTTCCAAAATGCCTGTACAGAATTGGCCATTCGTGCATGAAAGTCACCACGGTTTGATGGAATTATAACTCACACCACGGTCCAAAATAAACACCATGCAACAACAAATACACCCACCTAGTATGTGCCATTTTTTTATTTATGGGGAAAAGAGCTGACCTTCAAGGATAATTATTACTATTTGCGTAGGACGTTGCAAAGTGCATGCGCGTCAAGGAACCAGCAATCTACAAGTACAAACATGACAATTAATACTGTTTTACTACTGAGCTAGCATCACCACCTTCGACACCCAGGGCCTGCCTGTCATGTTGACACCAGCTTGATCCAGTCAGCCAAATTCTCGGAGAAAAAATCAATGCTCGTGAAGCAAAGCAGTAACTCGGACAAGAATTCCATTAACTCGGACCACCAGCCAAGCCGAGAGGCTCATGGCCAGTACGAGTTAGAAGGCAGTATACTCAAAATGGAACAAGAGCGAGGCAATATAAAATGTTGATGATGCAGATGCGCACATTGCAATGAGTGATGCAAACACACAGTAGAACTGGAGGTTGTAGTACAGAATTGTGAGCATTGCTGTCCGGCACGCAAGCCAGTGTCGAGTCTGAGAGCAATGAGGGCAAATGGGAGAGAACGGAGACGAACTATGGGACCAGCTGCCGCCTGCGTGTGCATATGTGCGTGGGTGTGTGATTACAATTGCCTAATCAACAGCAGCAGCAGCAACGGATGTAGTGGCAGCGACGTAAACGAGATTAGGATAACGCGCAAAACGCACTACTGGTTACAAGCATCAGCAACTGATTGTTTTACTTGAGCGGGTGGAAGTTCAGAGAAAGGGCCAAGAGCCCGGTTATAAATCCCCCAGAGAGGTCTGGAAAAGTGAAAGGCAATAGATTGTGATCATGTGGCCTGCTACAGGAGCAGGAGCAGCACTAGCAACAGCAGAAGCAACATGGTCTGTCTGTGAGAGAACACACAGCACCATGTACTATGATTCTTGCAGGCAGTACGCAAGCAGTACAACTGCGGAGAACAACAGACACAGGCAAAGGCACGAGGATAAACGAGAGTTGTGATCAATTTAGTACAGTGACATCTTGAGTTCAATTTTGTGTTCGTCAATGTTTCGCCGAACTTCCATAGCCAGCACCGAATGTTAGTTGATGACCATCTTGAGATGAAGTATGAACACAACCCCTGCGTGGGGATGATCAATTACTTAGATGGATTTCGCCAATGGGAGCGTCTCATTGCGCTTCAGGGTTCTACGCATGCGCCGTTGACAAACTGTTGGCATGGAACACAGGCACACAGACAAACGGACAAACACACGCACGCAAAAGTCAGTGTCCCATAAAGTCACACACGGATGAGGTGGTGAAGGGCACGTGGTGTCAGAACACCCATGCTGACACAAACACAGCAACATGAAATTGCCAACCCCCTCATTCTGTATTGGTGATACACAGCACGTGCTCATCACCCTCAAATCTAAACAAGACTACAAGACATGCACATGAAATGACCCCGCGACCAGAGTGTGCAGCTCAAATGGATAACTGTCATGGCGGGAGTCCTGGATTACACCATTGTAGTGATGCAGTGCATACAAGCAGAATTGCAGTCGGCCTCCTACGGCTCAACTGCAGCTCAGCTGTACACACACCATGCCAAATTCAAATCACTCCTCTAGTATGATGCAGGGTTCTAACAAAAACAGTAGTATACTCATACGTCGAATATGCGGACCCCAAAAACACGGGCACTTTGGTCTACCAGGCACCCTTTGGGCGAGCTTCAGTGGAAAAATCACTACCCCTTTAGAGTCTTTTGTGATGTCATATGCCATATCTATTCCCAACAAAATGTATGTGATCCGCAGATACGGACATTTCGAAGTTACGGGCAGTGCCCCGTCCCGGAACGCCCGGATAAACGAGGTATGATTGTACTTTATATCCTATAGTACCCAGTGTGTTGTATCCTCATAGTACCCAGTGTGTTGTATCCTCATAGTACCCAGTGTGTTGTATTCTCATAGTACCCAGTGTGTTGTATCCTCATAGTACCCAGTGTGTTGTATCCTATAGTACCCAGTGTGTTGTATCCTATAGTATATCCTGTAGTATGCAGTGTGCTATATCCAGGGTACTTGACATTCAGTACTGTTTCACTTTACTTCAAGTAAGTTACAACACACTTTGACTGTGATGTTACTCTCTACAACTAATGTTGTGACACTATCAAGACTGCACCAGGGAATTGCACAAGGCAACCCCAAACCATGACTGAACAGGGACAACATTTGTAAATCAACCTATGCTACGCCAACAACACATGGATGTCGAGAAGACAACGAACAACAACCATCACTCGTGTAGAGTTAGTGGGTACTGCAGTGCAGTGTACATGATAGTGAAACGTACCTGGCCTCCCCGGTTTCTGCATTTGCAATCATCCTGGTTATTGGCAGGTCTGCAGGCCAACGTTCCTGTTTCACCGTCATCTTGACAGGTGCAGATACGGCACAGGTCGATCTGTCTCAGCACTTCGCTGGTCTTCACTTGGGTGAACGCTCCGGTGAAGGCAACGGCCGTTGGTCCACCGCGACGCAGCAAGTTTATGTCCCACGCGGCACCGGACAGTTCCAGCGCCAGTGTGGTGAAGTCTCTCCGTGTGCCTTCATAGAAGGATGTCAGGCGACCTCTATCGCATGTGTTAAACTCACCGCCCGTGTTCAGCTGTTCCACGTAACCCTTCCTGTTGAAGTCCACTCCCAGCGCCGGGGTGTCGCCGCATGCAAACTGCTGATCGACCACCACGTTGAGCAATGCGCCCTTGCCATGAATGTTTCTCATCGTTCTCTTCATTACTGGTCTTGTGAGGTTTTCACCGCCAGGCAAGGTGTCACGATCTTCGTCACTGATGAAGATGACATTGTAGATGACATCCTGTCCTCTGCGCAGTGGGATTTCATCTAGAGCGTACTTGATAGCCAAGTATCCATCCTCGGTCTTTCCAAGGTCATCGGCAAACAAGCCCTGGGCAGCTGATGGGAAGGACCTTGCCGGGAACAGTCGCCGTCCTTGGCCGTCCTCGTATGCATGAGGATAGAGCTTGGGCAGGTTGTTATCGCGCTGTCCATAGCCAACCAGAGAATACATGTTTGGTAGCGTCGGAGAGTTTCCGATCTGCCGCTCAATCAGCGACCGTTCCAAGTTCTCAATCATTCCCGGCAACCAGGCGTGCTCTCCCTCCATACTGGCAGACTCGTCGACAACAATCATGACATCGCTGGCAACGCTGCGGTTCTGTGTGCGGATTTGATACTCTATTGCACCTTCCTGGAGGCGACCGTCACAAAGGACTGTAGATACAATGTGAAAGAAAACACACAAACACAAACACACACACAAACACACACAAAAACACACACACACACAAACACACACACACACACCCACACCCACACCACACACACATACACACACACACACACATACATGTGCGCACAGATGCACGGATGAACAGACAGACAGAGGGACACACAGTCATGCGCAACCGGGTGTGAACACACGCATACATTGTTCATCATCGCGCACTCCCTTGCCAAAGGAATAGTTGATGACAAGAATCCCTCTGCGCGCAGGGAGTACTAAGTGCCACAGCCAGCCAAGTCCCCCAAGACTAAACCTGCATGTAGATGAGCGATCGTAGTTGGTAGTTCACCACCAAACGGACACTAGATCACTTACCGCATGAACGCAGGTTACACGACTGGGTATCTTGCAGCACGGGGCAGGCACGGCCAATTCCCTCTGGGCTGCGGAGCACAACACGCGTACGAATGCTCTGACCGTCTCCGCAGGTGGCACTGCATGCTTGCCAGTCTCCCCAGGCGCTGACAATGCAGTCTGCAGGAAACACAAACAACAAATAAGCGCAAACCAAACTTAGCAATCCAAAAGACCCGACCGACTCTAGCTCAAAGGCCGCACAGCCACTGGACATACACAACGACAAACTCACTGAGAAACATAGTCGAATAATGATAACAAGCGGAATAAAAATATGTCTGCATTTCCATATTACAATATACTTGAATTTCTGGCAGATTTGTCTCTTGTACATCTTTAAAATGACACATTCAGGGTATGTTACATCCAGGGTATGTTCTATCCAGGGTATGTTCTATCCAGGGTATGTTACATCCAGGGTATATTACATCCAGGGTATGCTACGTCCAGGGTATTTCTACCCAGGGTATGTTACATGCAGGGTATGTTCTAACCAGGGTACTTGAATACACAGCAGTAAACTCAAAGAGAAGAGCTCGTGAGAAAGGACCGGAGAGCAGCCAGCATACCTGGGTCGCATGTCGGCGGAGGCGGTGTCCATCTGCCGGTGATCTGGCAGGTGATGTTGGGTGGGCCATTGCGTGTGAACAACGGGTCACACTGGTAGTGGACGGTTTCGCCATAGTTGAACATTGACACAGACTTCTCTCCATTGATGATTGCACCCGGATCGCCGCAGTTGATAACTAAAACACACAAACAAAAACGACAAAGATTTAATGTTCGGACACGACCAAACATTCTACTTCGAAGTACAGTTTCTCTGCAGAGAGATTCGAAGTACAAGAATACACGACCCCCCCCCCCCCCCCATACACCACTACCACACACATCTACACACGCACACGCGCCCTCGCACATACACGCACACATGCGCGCACGTGCACGCGACCACGCGAGCGAAGCAAGGACCAAAAAAAATACTATCACGGTGTGGAGGATGTGTGCAAGATATATCTTACACCCCAATCACATATCCACCGTGTAATTGTGGCACTAATCCTGATTTCCTTACTTTCACACGTCGGCACGGGATGTGACCATTCGGTGTTTGGCTGGCAGGTGATGGTCTGCTGTCCGACAAGACGATATCCGGTCTGACACTCGTACTCGATCTCCCCGCCCACGGCCAGGCTGAATGAGACCTTGGACCCATGTACGGGTGTACCAGGGTCAGTACAAAGCACCGCTGCAACCACAACAACAACAACAACAAGAAAGAGACAGAAGGCAAGAGCAAAGACAAGTTTAGTTTCACTAGTGAGTAGTGTATTACACTACTACTACTGCTGCGGGAAAGCACCTATAGTATGTGTACTTATGTTTGACGGTGCTGCAAAGAGGAGCGAAAATTCAGAAATACAGAATATTTCTGCACACAGAACCATTTCTTCCCTTTCACAAACACACACTCACGCACGCACACATACACACATTCACACTCACGCGCACGCACACGCACACACACACACACACTGCCATGCAAACACCTCCTCAGCGCCGGCAGAGGATTTCGCTTGCAAATGCATGTGAGCTTGCGCGCGTGCACTTGCGTGCGCACATGTGTGTTCGTGCGTTTGTGCGTGTGCAAGTGTGTATGCGTGTACGAGTACTGTACATGTATGTATGAATGACTGTACGCATGAATGACTGGATGTGCATGCGGTGGCTTACGTGTGCAAGAGGTGTGGGTTCCACTCCATGTACCATCGGCCTGGCACGTGCGAGTCTGGGAGCCAACGAGATTGTAGTTGGTGTTGCAGGTGAACTGTGCGGTCGACTGGTAGGTGAGGGTACTGATGGTGACAGCACCGTTGGCCGGGCTCTCCAGAGCACAACATTCAATAACTGTGGAACAGAGATATGCACGGGAAAGGGATTAGTTGTACGAAGCATAAAGGCAATGTAGACTGCTAGGCCACTTATCCGGAATGGTCCTGTCTTGCTCACGGATACCTCTGCGAATCAGTACACCGGGGTAGATACCAGATGGCAATGTTCAAGCAGTGAAGACACGGTGCAGTAGCTGCAAACCTGGCTTGCTTGCAGTGGCATGTGATACCCTACGCGTACCATGATCATTAGTGGGATGCTTTGCATGTACCGTATTTCCCCGATTGTAAGTCACACCTTTTTACACTAAACTTCAAAGGCAAAGAATGGGGTGCGACTTACAATCGAGTGTGATTTCTTACTTAGGTGAATGCATTGAGACGATTTGGTTCGGACGTGAGAATGGGCTGCGACTTATAATCAAGTGCGACTTATCATCGGGGAAATGCGGTACATGTATGAGTAACAGCGGAAAGAAATTTGTTTGCTTCATTGCTGTGTAATCTTTGTATACGTACATGTAGATGAGTATCTGCCATGGATATTTCCCACTTCATGGCCTTAAAACATCACTCCTCACACCACACAAGTTTACACTCTGTACATCCTTGAACACAATACACTCTGTACATCCTTGAACACAATACACTCTGTACATCCTTGAACACAAGTGTTGGGCATGTGCATAGTGTACATCCTTGAACACAAGTGTTGGGCATGTGCACGCACGTTTTAACCACCCTAGCCCCATCCGGGTCTGAGCCTTCTTAGTTGTTACGTCAAAATACGCATGCAAGCAAGTCGGAAACTACCGTGCAAGGTGAGGAATATCACACTGCCTTCGTGTTTGTCTAGGCCGGGGGTAACAACTTACTGTGACATTCGGGCGTGGATTCCGACCACAGCCCATCGGCACGGCACACGCGGAGTGTGCTGCCCGTCAAGCGGTAGCCCACGCTACAGGTGTATGCCGCTTGACCCTCGTAGAACGTGTTGTCAACGACGACCGCACCGTTTGCTGGAGATTCTGGCTGCCCGCAGTCAATCGCTGTGCAGGACAAGTGCAGATTGTACCGTGGATGAGATATCCTTTTTTTCTGTCAGAAATCTTCATTCATTCATTGAATGCATGAAAACACACAATCTTTGCCAGCATCAGCTATTTTAAGCAGCATACTAGTACCCATTTTCAGGGTTCTCCGTCTACTGTGTCCCGGCAACGGAACAGCAAGGTTTACAAGTGTGCCATTGGTAACGGTCCAATCACAGCGCTGGACAGATCCGGTGCTGTGACCGAGCTGCCATGATAACCGTGGTAACGAAGTACAGATCAGTATTTACCGCTATAAGGGAGACATCAAGCAACCACTGGATAAAGACTCAACAGGAGAGCCCAAAGAACACGCACGGCACACACACACACACACACACACACACACACACACACACACACACACACACACACACACACACACACACACACACACACACACACACACAGTTGAGATGACCACTTACGGAGGCAAACTGGCTGCACACCGGACCACGAGCCGCTGGCTTCGCAGATGCGACGCTGTGAGTTGATGAGGCGATAGCCAACACTACAGGTGAACGACACCACACTGCTGTACGTGAAAGTGTCACCATCGCGAGCGCCGAATTGCGGTGTGCCTGGGTCGGGGCAGCTGATGACTAGAAAAAAACACCAAGCCATGAGAACAGCATGGGTAGGTAGGTGTTGGTATAGGTGCTGTGTAGTACTCATAAGGAGACATAATACAACCCACAATGTATGCGGAAAGGAACAATGAAACATGGTTTCAATGTGCACACTGCATACTGCACTCGGGCAACGCCATACAATTTTAGTGTTGCCTTGGCAACCTGGCAACGTAGGTGACGAGACGAAAACAACAATGGTGTGCTGCGTATTCTTTCCACAAGCCACCCAGGGCAAAATTTGAACCATTTTGAAGCCAGCTGTAGCCTAAATCCTCATCTGCCGGCCAGCAATGTCACACGTACACATCAGCATAACACTCTTAGTACAGGCATGCCATTCAATGGCGTTCCCTTGGCATGCAGAAAGCAGAGCAGCCACAACGCACTATTGCCTATTTGTGCTACCAGGAGACACTCACGCTGACACGATGGAAGCGCGAGGTCAAAGAGCCCGTTGCTCTGGCACGTTCTTTGCTCCGCTCCAACCAGCGCATAACCGGGGTTGCAGAAGTAGTTCACCTTGGAGTTGAGCGTGAAAGATTCGCCGTCACGGCCACCGTTGTCCGGGATCAATGGGTCACTGCAGATGATTGCTGTACATTTGGAGTTGAAAAGAAATCAGACACAAACAAGTGCTTACATGTATATGTCCGTACACGGCTGAGCAGGATTGCTATAGGCACGACCACGAAGTATGACTACGCAGTGTATGGGACAGACATTTTGACCTAGCCTCATGCTGTCGAGTGAAGCACTTGGACAGATAAAAACCACCTGATCTCCTGCAGTTTGTATAGAGTTTCCTGTGGAAGCAGTCACCTAGTTTCTGAACCCTTTGCGCATCAGTCTTAAATTGTTCTATCCCCCATGATGACATCATCTGTTCACACTTACCCACACAAGATGTCTCCTGTCCGCTCCACAGGCCGTCGGCCTGGCACACGCGCGATGCAGAGCCCACCAGCCGGTACCCGTTGTTGCATGTGAACGAGAACGTGTTCAGGTAGGTGGTGAGGCGGCCGCTGCGGTCACCATTGCTTGGGGTGCCTGGGTCTCCGCAGTCCACAACTGCACAGCAGCACGCAGTGAAAAAGAGAATGAATGCGATGCCGATAACAACACAATTGCAATAACGACAAGCAGAAAGACCGGTGAAAATATCTTCAGTAGTGTGCTGGCACTGGTCGCACAACAAGCCCATTGTGCATTGCCAAATATGGATTGCATGCGTGATGCATGTGAGCATGCTGGGATCAGGAATGTACTGTTCAACACTCCAGACGACCATGCCCAGGTCGCTGTGTGCGGTGTTCGCGGGACAAATTGCGTCATCGCGCCATGGGCGTATACTCACTCTGGCAAGTTGGTTGACTGCCGGACCAGGCACCGGATGCCTGACACCTGCGCGTCACGCTGCCAAACAGCGAGTAGCCTGTGTCACAGGTGAAGCTGAACTCGCTGTTGTAGATAGTGCTGTCACCAGTGCGATCGCCATTGCGTGGCGTGCCCGGGTCCCCGCAGTCCACAACTGGGGGTCGTGCAGAGACACACACACAAGGAACACAGATACAAACATAAACACATACACAACAAAAGACAACAGTGATTTCGGGAAAAAGAAAACAAGACAATAGCCCGTTTACTGGCAATACAAACCGTACCACCAGCAACATGCAAATGTGCTAAAGGGTCGCTTATCATTATGTGCCATCAGCCAGGGCTTCATAGGACAACTTCAACAGAAAGACCTCTCCCGACTGGGCACACCCAACAAGGAACCTGATAGTTATAGTTAGAACTGACGTACCGACACACGATGCGGCTGTTCCGGAGAAGGCACCATTAGCCTGACATGTTCTGTACTCGGAACCGCTGAGGGCATAGCCGGTGTTGCATGAGAACTCGATGCTAGCACCGTATGTGAACACTGTTCCAGCCATCTGACCGTTCTCAGGCGCACTCTGACGACCGCAGTCCACAACTAAACAGAACACAGAAAACAGGCACGGAACACCAGGTGGGTCAGTGAGAAGAGTGAAAGGTCTGCTCATCATGCACAGCCATCAGGTCCATGCTGGGAGTCGCTCACCCGCATATACGCACATACAGAACCATTATACTCTTCATTTGCTTCTCTACAGTGGTGCCATTGTCATTAGGGCATCATTTGACTGTTCTGACTGCCCCTCTAAATACAAATACAATACAAATACAGATACAATATACAAGATGTACACAACGGAAAGTAAGGGCTTACTTATTGTAATTCAGAGTTCTACGGTTTAACAACCAATCATCAGACAGCACCGACTGAGATTGGAAGCAGTGCAGGTCTAAAGCTAAGCAAACACCCACCCACGTAGGTGGAGCTCTCTGCTTGGACAGTACCACCCCCCCCCCCCCACCCCCTCCCCACCCGCCCACACACAGAGCGTTCATCACCCAGAAGATAAGTCATTGTCTGGCTGGTGGGAGGACATGCTCCATGCACTTACTGTCGCACACCGGCAGAGAGGCCGACCAGGCAGCATTGCGACCGTCGCGCGTCGTCTCGCATGTGCGCTGCTGGCTGCCACGCAGCACATAGCCGACATTACACGTATAGTTAACAGTGGCACCGACCACTGTGCTGCTGAGGGCACGGTCACCGTTTGCTGGTGTGCCGGGGTCACGGCAGTCAAGACCTGACCAAGACACAAACAGTGGAAAACAATAATATCAGAATGTAGACATCCTGGAAGTCAACAAATATTCGGCGCATATTTTATTTTCGGCTATTTTCGGCCTGGTCATGTTTGGCCGAAATATTTTTGTTGCAGCCGAAATTTTGTTTTGCAAGGTTCAGTGTGACAATGTATACAGGCAGCAGTACAGACCAAAAATTTGATGCGGCCGAAATGGGTTTTCGCCCTGGGAGGCCGGAATTTGAATGGGCTGAAAATGTGTAGACTTACAGTAACTTAGAAATGAGACTGAAGTTGGAGCATACCATGGGTGTCCTGTAGTATGATACCTTAGCCCTAAAATTGAAAGTTACCATCATTGTCACGACTATACAGATATGCACACCAACACCCACATCCTCACCCTCACAATCCTTGCAATGCACTGCTACATATATACTTACGGACACATGTTGGTGCTGCGCTCGACCAGGCGCCGGAGGACGTACAGCGGGCAGAGCTGGATCCATCTAGCCTGTAGCCACTGTTACATGTATAGCTGACAGATGAGCCAAATGTGAACTCGTCGCCAACTCTTGAACCGTACGCTGGAATGCCGGGGTTGGGGCATGAGATCACTGTAGGAAAGCATGTAAAATTGGACATGATGAGGTTTGAGCATGAGTCTATGCTGTTTTTACTTCAACCCCAAATGTTTAGTAGAGTAAAAATGGAAGCCGACAGTACTCCAAACACAATCATGGCACATACAAGCACTTGCATGGCGTGGGCCCCATGAAAGGAGGAAACGACACATTCTAAAGAAAATTTGCTCCTCCTCCCCCCCCCCCCCCTTGCACAGCCATAAACATTTAAAAAGAACGACACACAACTACTTACGGACACACTGAGGTGCCGCGCTGGACCAGAGGCCGGATGCGAGACAAATGCGAGTCCTGTCACCCACCAGGTTATAGCCTGTGTTGCAGGAGTATGTCACGCCACTGCTGTAAATCGTGGTGGAGTAGCGAGCATTGCCACTGGCAATAGACTCAGGGTTGCCGCAATCAACAACTGATCATAAGACATAGAACACACAGAACACACAGCAGCTCCTGTCATTCATCCTCATTTCACACTTACACAAGCAGACGAGGGCATTTTCTGTAGTACCAATGAATTTCATTCCTCGCTCAAACAGCAAAGAGCAGGGTGCATACTAGTATGCAAGCAGAGCAGGATGAAGCACTACAGGGAAAGTGCACATATGCCTATGATAGTAGCACATTTTCGGAATTGCGTAGCTGCCAACTTGAAGAAGAGGTAGATATGGTGATATACATGTACATGCATAAGACACACACAAACACACATACACACACAAACACACACAAAACAAACAAACAAACAAACACACAAACAAACGACGCACAATACAACACCATACTATACCTTGGCAAGTAGGCTGGGTGCCCGACCACACTCCGGATGCCTGGCATCTGCGTGTCATGGAGCCTTGCAGTCTGTAGCCCGCTTCACACTCAAAGTTCACATTGGCGTTGTAGGTGAAAACATTGCCAGTGCGTGTGCCATGGGTTACGCTTCCTGGCTCTCCACAATCAACAACTGTAAGGAAATGGGATAGAAACAAAGAGATCAAACTAATTTTAAACAGCGGACTATGGAAGGAAATTCCAAGACCTTACTTGATTTTGGTTTAGCATGCACACGTGCTCTCCTGTATTGAAATTGTCCCACCAGTATCTGTCCTCTGTGAGTGTGTGTGTGTGTGTGTGTGTGTATGTGTGTGTGTGTGTGTATGTGTGTGTGTGTGTGTGTATGTGTGTGTGTACATGTGTGTGTGTGTGTGTGTGTGTGTGTGTGTGTGTGTGTGTGTGTGTGTGTGTGTGTGTGTGTGTGTGTGTGTGTGTGAGTGTGCGTGTGCGTGTGTGTCTGTGTGTGTACGAGTACATGTGTGCGTGAATGAGAGAGAGAGAGAGAGAGAGACTCTACTGCCACTCACTTCTGCATGTTGGCATGCTGTCACTCCACGCTGCCGAGGTACTATCGGTGTTGGCCATGCACTCGCGCGTCTCTGAACCAATCAACTGGTAGCCAACGTTACAGTAGTACTCGACGGTACTGGCAACAACACTGGAGGAATACGCACGGCCACCATTTGCTGGCACTCCCGGATCGCCACAGTCAAGAACTGGAGAACAGGACAGCAAACATCACGCACACTGTTTAAACATATTATTATGATCAAGACAGGCATGCGTGGCCTATGATATCAAAGTCACCAAAGCCTGCGGTGCAATGCTACCAAAGTCATCACCCACAGGGTTGAGGAGAGAGTGTGTGAGGACCCGACGTGCAAGCATCGTCAGTCTAGGTGTCCTTGCCTGTAGACATAAGCTATGGACGAAATCTGTTGAGCTATTCAAGGTACCCCATAGCACACTAAGTGGATCGAACACGCTGTACATTTGTGCAATGATACGGGGTCCCAATGCCCAAGGGCTGTACATTTGTGCAATGCTACAGGGTCCCAATGCCCAAGGGCTGCACATGTATACACAAGTGCGTCGAGATAATAGCACAGAGCAACACGCCAGTGTGTGGTGTGTGCATGGTCTCACCAGAGCAGGATGGAATGCCACTACTCCACTGGCCATTGGCCTGGCACAAGATGCTCTGCTCGCCGATCAGCTGGTAGCCAGGGTCGCATATGAACGCCACGGACGATCCAAAGTTGAAGGCGTCACCGTTGCGAGTGCCGTGTGCTGGAGCACCTGGGTTTCCGCACTCGACAACTGCAGCAAACAAACCAGTCACATAACAATACACCACAACACCATGAGCCATACAGTCATCTAGTAAGCCACAGCAATGGCATTTGTCCAAGAGCATGGCCAGCAAACAGTTGGTACGAACGCCAAGCACATTGAGCCATACAAAGTAATCTCTTATTAGAGCCACTCCAATGGCATTTATCCCATAGTATGGCAAGCAAACAGTCGGTATGAACACCGAGTTGCAGCAAGCAAAGCATGCAGGTCAGTGCCAAACAATATCTTGCTTTTGGTTGACATACAGGCACACTGGCTTGTATACTTGTGCTGCATACAACTGCCATACTTACTGATACATGATGCTGTTGCCTGGTTGACAGTACAATACAGCCCACACAGGCTTGTGTACTCGTTCACTCACAGTTACAGTGAAACCTATCTAAGACGACCGCTCAAGGGACCATCAAAAATGTGGTCTCTATCACCAGGTCACCAGGTTGTCTCCTTATCAAGGGTCATTTGAGTGGAAATTGCATCCCTTGATCCTGGTTTGAGTGGTCTTCTAGGACAGGTGGTCGGCTTATCGGAGTGGTTGCCTCGACAGGTTTTACTGTACATACATCTGCCATACTTACTGATGCACGACGCTGTTGCGCCCGACCAGAAACCGTCGGCCTGGCAAGTTCTCACTTGGCTGCCGCTGAGCATGTATCCAGTGTTGCAGCTGTAGCTAGTGGTGCTGCCATACAGTGTGGTGGTGGCTGCTACTGTGCCATCAGACAGCGGTGGCGGTGTGCCGCAATCCACAACTGAACAACAACAAGAAAGCATCGTGCACACAAACGGTTGTGCTGGGAAATACTCGTACCACGGCCAGGCTTTACAAATGACCCCCGAGTCTCTACGTGGAAGACGCTTGGCAAAACAAATAGCGCTCTCCAGGTCTGCCTCAACTAGACACACATCCAGCTCGGCAAAAGCTGCCGTCATACACGTGTGCATGCAGTCAACGAGCATACAATTGAAACGCACAAGCTCAGACGCACATTAACAAACACACTCCGCTGGCAGTCAGACACCACTTGAAACAATGGGACTACCAGTAACACAGTGGTGGGATATTGATGACACAATGCTCAGTGGTGATCCTGCAATGTTCAGTACAGTGGTGACAATGCGGTGGCAATGTACTTACTGCGACACATTGGACTATTTCCCGATAGGCTGCCATCAGCCAGGCAGAATCGTACGGTTGCGCCGACCAGTCTGTATCCCGTATTGCATGAGTAGGAATAGCCATTGTCATCAGCCAGTGCCGCGAAAGCACCGTTCTCAATGTTCGACGGACGGGCACATGGAATTGCTGGTAAAACAACCGGAAAGGAAACAGATTGGAGTTTGGTCTGGAACATGAAGTTTAAGTCGCTGCATTGCCCAGCGAACATAACCACTGCATTGCATGCAGTGCTCAATTACTCGTACACAAACTAGAAATGAGTGATTGCAAGTACCCATACAATCTACAAGTCAGTGATTGCTACACCAAATCAGGAATGATTACAAGTATCTATACGATCTAGGAGTCAGTGATTACTACACCAAATCAGAAGTGACGTCAAGTACCCATACAATCTACGAGTCAGTGATTACTACACCAAATTAGAAGTGACGTCAAGTACCCATACAATCTACGAGTCAGTGATAGCTACACTAAACCAGGGAATGCCTTACGGACGCAGCGAGGTTGCTGTGCGGTCCACGCCGCGGCCGTGTTCTGCGGGTTGACCACGCATCGGCGTGACGAGGCGCCGTCCAATGTGTAGCCGACGTTGCAAGTGTAGGAAACGCGCGCTCCGGGCAGCACGCTGGACATTTGCGTGTCGCCATTGTCCAAAGGCAGCGGCATGGGGCATGTGTGTGCTGCACACATACACATACAAGCAAGCACATAGCACGTCGCACAGAAATCAGATCAGAGAACTCACTACACTATACCGTCAACATACAAAATAAGCATGCTAATACTCCAACTCCAGACACTTCGCTAGACCAGCACTTTGCCAGTATGGGTCATCAACATACAAAATAAGCATGCTAATACTCCAACTCCAGACACTTCGCTAGACCAGCACTTTGCCAGTATGGGTCATCAACATACAAAATAAGCATGCTAATACTCCAACTCCAGACACTTCGCTAGACCAGCACTTTGCCAGTATGGGTCATCAACATACAAAATAAGCATGCTAGTACTCCAACTCCAGACACTTCGCTAGACCAGCACTTTGCCAGTATGGGTCATCAACATACAAAATAAGCATGCTAGTACTCCAACTCCAGACACTTCGCTAGACCAGCACTTTGCCAGTATGGGTCATCAACATACAAAATAAGCATGCTAGTACTCCAACTCCAGACACTTCGCTAGACCAGCACTTTGCCAGTATGGGTCATCAACATACAAAATAAGCATGCTACTACTCCAACTCCAGACACTTCGCTAGACCAGCACTTTGCCAGTATGGGCAGTGGGAACTAGAGATCACCTACCCACACAGGTCGGAGGAGGAGCACTCCATGATCCGGTAGCATCGCAAGTCAGCTGGGCAGCGCCAGAAACGAAGAATCCAGGATTGCAGGTGTAGCTCACCACGCTGCCGGGAATGAAGAAGTTGTCCTCGGCCAACGTTGTGCGCGTGCCATAGGCAGGAACATTGGGTACATCGCAGTTGATAGCTAATGCAGCAGAACACACACACAGACACACAGTGGCTATGCTAACAGTGGCTATGCTAAAAGTGGCTATGCTAACAGTGGCTATGCTAACAGTGGCTATGCTAACAGTGGCTATGCTAACAGTGGCTATGCTAACAGTGGCCATGCTAACAGTGGCCATGCTAACAGTGGCCATGCTAACAGTGGCTATGCTAACAGTGGCTATGCTAACAGTGGCTATGCTAACAGTGGCTATGCTAACAGTGGCTATGCTAACAGTGGCTATGCTAACGGTGGCTATGCTAACGGTGGCTATGCTAACGGTGGCTATGCTAACGGTGGCTATGCTAACAGTGGCTATGCTAACAGTGGCTATGCTAACAGTGGCTATGCTAACAGTGGCTATGCTAACAGTGGCTATGCTAACAGTGGCTATGCTAACAGTGGCTATGCTAACAGTGGCTATGCTAACAGTGGCTATGCTAACAGAAAGGGTAAAACTATAATGGAATTTATCAAAATTAATGTTGGTGGCTAACTAGATACCATCTGCAATTTACGTGACCTGAGATTGTGAAACCCTGAACAGAGGAGAGGATGCCAGCGCTCTATCGATATCACTTACGAATGCAGCGTGGCTCAGCACCCGACCACTGGCCGGTTGCCTGGCACGTGCGGCTGGTGGCTCCGACCAGTGAGAATCCGGGATTGCAGGCAAAGCGTGCAACGCTGTCAAGGGTGGTGGTGGTGAACGATGCTGTGCCGTCAGCTGGCGTTGCCGGCTCAAGACAGTCAATGGCTGCAAAAACCATACACACAGAAATGAAACAAGGACTTGGGAGAATGATTCGTACATTCAAAGAGCTGAACACGAATTCGTGCATAGCTCAACCATGCAACTGTCATGGCCAAAGCAGTGTCAAGGTTGTAAACAAGGACTAGATGTGTGAACATGGAGCATTGCTGAATTGGGCATACATGTTTCTAGTCTTCTCTACCTACGCCGGGCAGAAATAAGCACATCATTCGCTGTATGACTCTAAACAAAAGCTATGCGCGCTGTGCGTCTACTCACGAAGGCAATCCGTTCCGGTACCGCTGAACGTTGCGTCAGCTCTGCAGCGGCGAGAAGTTGATCCAGTGTGGACGTACCCGTCCTCGCACGGAAAGTCTCTCCAGACACCATAGGTAACGAATGAACCGTCCCAGGGGATTGGACCATAGTCAGCATCACCACACACGACAACTGTACGCAGAACATTGGGCACACAGACACATGCGCGGTGAAGACAAAATGGACACAACGGAAGTGTGTAGAAAAAAAAAGTATTTTTAAAAACATATACTTGCTAGACGTTGGCATGCACGATTATGCGCGACGTGGCCATTCCATGTTGTGATATTGTACTGTAGCGCATGGGAATAAGCCAGCTACAGAATGCAGCAACTAGCTTTGCTACTGTGTACAAATGGAATGGTTTCAAAACACTTTAGTATGATATTTTAGATCTAGAAGTGTCTGCCTAGTTTGCTCAGCTCATGTGCAATAGGATCTACGAGAGGCACACACGCACGCACGCACGAACGCACAGCGTGCACACACACACATATACACACACACACACATACACACACAGCGTAGCTATTATTATTAGGTCAGCCGTGCCAGTCCGGCATTAGCATGACTGCACTTACCTCTGCAGGTGGGCAGGGGATGCGACCAGGACATACCACCATCCTGGTCAGCTTGGCAAGTCATCATTGCCTGGCCCACCAGGGAAAACCCGGTGTTGCAAGTGAAGTTCACGGAACTGCCCAGCACCAGTGACCTCATCAGACGGTCGCCGTTGTCAGGAATACCAGGATCCACGCAGGACAGAGCTGTACACAGACAAAGCAAAACAGTGCCATGGCTCAAACATAGTCCAATGGCAAGGCATGGGTGAAGAACCGAGAGAGAGAACTAATACAAGTGTAGATATCACTTGACAGCGATTCGGGACAACAAATCACACTTACGAACGCATGATGGAGATGAGCCAGAAAAGACACCAGAAGGCTCGCATGTCCTCAGCGACTCTCCAACCAGCTCGAAGCCATTGTTGCAGCGGTAGCGGATCTCAGCACCAATCGTGAAGTCGTCGCCAATACGCTCGCCATTGGCTGGCTGTCCAGGGTTGGCACAGGTCACACCTGATCACACAGCACATGGAAACAGAATAAACACAGCTGAGACACTACAGCAGCATGATAGCGCAGCAGCATAAAAACACAGCAGCATAACGACATACTGACAGAATATTGCGACAATACATCAAGCAAACAGCCGTTGTAGACTGAGCACTTACGGACACAGACAGGTCGCTGCCCGCTCCACTGGCTGCTGACAAGACATTCCTGCGAGGTAGAGCCGCGCAGCATGTAGCCTGCGTTGCAAGTGTAGGACACCGACTGCTCGTACGTGAAGCGGTCACCGCGTCGTTCACCGTTATCTGGCACGCCGGGATCACCGCAATCGATTTCTGAGTTGCACAGAACAACAGGAGAGCCGTGTTAACCTACAGGCACTACAACAATAGATAGCACATCATTAAAAACTGGAACAGGGCCATCACGTTTAATATGGTGAATTGTTAATATAAAACATGATCAAAGATGATCATTTGCCCAGGGCAAGAACTGCCAAAGTTGATTTCAGACACCCTGCACACTCCATGCAGAGAAACCGGACCAGGTGGGTATGTGGAAGCCAAGCCGTCACGGCCTCCACCAAAGTGACGTACGATGAGCTTACCGGCACAGATGGGAGCAAATCCAGACCACTTGCCGTCGGCCTGGCAGGTTCTTGTCAACTGGCCGCTGAGAAGGTAGCCACGCAAGCAAGAGTAGAGCGCTTCAGAGCCGTAGGTTGTGGACGCCAGCGGCGCAATCAGACCGTTCTCCGGCACGTTCGGGCGACCGCAGTCAACAACTGTGCATGCAAAGCACACAAGACAGTGATGTTACACTGCAGTGCATAGCATGCTAGACAATATTGAGAAGGTCTAGGAGGGAATGAGCCCAAAGCATGCTAATCCCCGAGCTCTATGTATGAAGCACCACAGATCAGATTTTAGCTATGCGCCGTGCCGATATTGGACAAAGAGTATGGCCGTTGGACAAATTATAGAAATGACTGGGAATGTACTTTGGACCGGATTGAGAGCATTGTGAATGTACCCTGGACCGGATTGAAGGCATTGTGAATGTACCCTGGACCGGATTGAAGGCATTGTGAATGTACTTTGGACCGGATTGAGGGCTTTGTGAATGTACTCTGGACCGGATTGAGAGCATTGTGAATGTACCCTGGACCGGATTGAAGGCATTGTGAATGTACTCTGGACCGGATTGAAGGCATTGTGAATGTACTCTGGACCGGATTGAGGGCATTGTGAATGTACTTTGGACCGGATTGAGGGCATTGTGAATGTACTCTGGACCGGATTGAGAGCATTGTGAATGTACTTTGGACCGGATTGAGGGTATTGTGAATGTACTCTGGACCGGATTGAGGGCATTGTGAATGTACCCTGGACCGGATTGAAGGCATTGTGAATGTACTTTGGACCGGATTGAGGGCATTGTGAATGTACTTTGGACCGGATTGAGGGCATTGTGAATGTACTCTGGACCGGATTGAGGGCATTGTGAATGTACTCTGGACCGGATTGAGGGCATTGTGAATGTACTCTGGACCGGATTGAGGGCATTGTGAATGTACTGTGGACCGGATTGAGGGCATTGGGAATATACTGTGGACCGGATTGAGGGCTTTGTGAATGTACCCGGGACCGGATTGAGGGCTTTGTGAATGTACTTTGGACCGGATTGAGGGCATTGTGAATGTACTTAGGACCGGATTGAGAGCATTGTGAATGTACCCTGGACCGGATTGAAGGCATTGGAAATGTACTTTGGACCGGATTGAGGGCATTGTGAATGTACTCTGGACCGGATTGAAGGCATTGTGAATGTACTCTGGACCGGATAGAGGGCATTGGGAATGCACATGTACTCTGGATTAGATCGAAGGCAAACCGTACTTTCGCAAGTTGGCCGTGGGTTGGACCAGACGCCGGCTGTAGAGGTGGCGGTACACTCGGCGGTCGGTGCTCCATTCAGAACGTATCCACTGTTACACGAGTACTGCACTTGAGCACCGATGTGCAGGGTGCCGAGCAGACGAGAGCCGAACTGAGGAACACCGGGATCCTCGCACATCAGAGCTGCAGCGAACATAAACACGTAGCAGAGAATTACACTCACCATCACACTTCCGCATTTCGGCTTGACAACAGTGAAAACAGAGCACCGTGTACAACGCATGCTTGGCCAGTTATATACTCAGTTGAACACACTCGCAAGTTGAAACTATACATTGCACACTAATACTAGTGACAGGTAAAAACCTTTTAAAATAGAAGATTATTGGCTCAGTATCCGAGTTAAAAACCTTTTCCATAGAATTGTTATTGACAAGAAAATTTGGAAGCGAGCTAAACGTGCTTTGGACCACATGGGATGTTGCATCACAGAGAAGGAAGCATGGCAGGATCCGAAAGGCAGTGGACGGTGTGCAGCAATACGTACCCACACAGCTTGGCGCGGGAGCACTCCAGCTGCCAGTGGTGTCGCACTGGCGCACCTCGGCTCCTTGCAGTGCGAAGCCACTGTTACAGCTGTAGCGCACAGTGGAGCCGTACAGGAAGGACGTGCCCTCGGGCGTGCGGACGCCGTTTGAGATCATACCAGGGTTGGGGCAGACAATGGCTGGGTTTGGAGAAGAGCAACGGAGAAGCAAACAAGGAACAACATGAGTCACATGACACCATCACACCTCCCCATGATATAATACAGTTGGCTATGAGCGACAACACAAAGTACAGAGTTTCGCCGATTTCAACGAAAGAAACACAGCACCCATGCTGCAGGATAACATGCAGAAAAATTAGGTGTAAGTGTCGTCTTGCACAAAATTAACACTCATTGGGCTCATGAGCGTTGCCGAACAATGTAATATTAATTAAACGGAACTTACGAGCACAAACTGGAGCACGACCACTCCATGCACCGCTGGCCTGGCACTCTAGGACATTGCTTCCCATCAAGCTGTAACCCTGCGAACAGCGGTACTCCACCTCTGCGCCGTACGTGTAGATATTACCGGAGACGCGGCCGTTAGGAACATCTGGCGGTCTGCCGCAGTCCACCACTGAAGGAGAGCAATGAACATAAGTGACAATCATTACAATTGTAAGCATCCCACATGTATGCAACAGCAACCCACAGTAGCATTTCAAAAGGTACAACTGTCATAATACACCCGTGATGGCGTGTTGATAAGGACTACCATGAAAGTGCATTGATTGAGCCACACAAAACAGTTAATTAATGCTCTGGATCATCATTGTTTGGATAAATACTGCATGCACAATACAGCAAAGTACGAGCACGTACGTGTGCAAGTGGCCGGCTCTCCGGACCACGTCGAGTCAGCTTCACAGGTACGGGTTTGCGAGCCCTGGAGCTTGTAACCGGGGTTGCAGGAGATCTCGGCAACGTCGCCAAAGAATGCGGTCGGTGCAATTACAACACCATTTTCAGGTGCCTTCAGCTCAGCACATTCGGTTGCTGCAGGCAAGACAGTACAGGCATAACAAAGCGAGGTCATGTCAAAGGAAGAAAAAAAAGCAAAGCAAAAGACTGAACACCCAAACCCGACAGAACTGTGTGATCTCACTCGTCAAGCACAGGGTATGATTGTCCATCAACCATGGTGCAAGCAGCTGTTTACTAGAAGCCCAAATCACCCTTCAACATGAAGTTTCCAATGACTGTTATGGGTGTGAGGTCAGGGGCGTCTGACACGCTACGGTCACTACGGTATGACCGCACCACGTCTTGCCGTTGGTATCCAAAAAAAAGAAATGAAATGCTATGATTCTGGCTCCAACATTTGAAACTTGTAGTGGTGTGCCCTGGATTGGCACCTACAAAAACGGATGACCGTGCCATCCTAGAATACCTTCCGATGCGCCTGGGAGTACTTACGCTCGCAAAGCGGGGGCTGCGTCGTCCAGAGAGAGTCTGTGCCACATCGAACACTGCGCTCGCCTTCGAGGCTGAAGCCGGGATCGCACTGGAAGGAGACTTGCGAGAAGGTCGTCAGGTTGGCCATGTCCATGTCGCCATTGTTGACTGCTGACAGTGTGGGACACTCCATCGCTAAAAGAAACACAGACACCAACAAAGGCGCAAAAGAAATGTGAAAAGAAATATATTTTAAACCGCTAAATTGCACAGTGCATCCTCACACCAGAGTAGTAAGACAATATCATCCATGTCAGTAACATCTGCATGTACGGGGCCCTAACCAACATGATCAAGTCAAACGATCAGAAGAGCTAGGATGAACCAGACTTACGGACGCAGAGTGGCATGGACTCGTCCCATTCACCGCAGGCCGTGCAGCGACGTGTGCCAGCACCGCGCAGTTGGTAGCCGTCGTTACAGGTGAACGACACGGTGGCCTGGTAGCTGTATGGTGATCTGCCCGCTGGCGTGTTGAACGATGCAACACGGCCGTTCATCGGAACACCTGGGTCTCCACAGTCCACAACTGAAGAGCAAGCAACAAACAAACGCTAGGAGTAAGAATACAACCAACCAAAATGATTGCATTAGGGCAGCCCAAGGGACTGAAGGCAGTGAAGCTAATATGGAACAGCTTTCCGAAATCAAATCACACTAGAATCAAAGCTAGTTGATACAGTAAATGCTATGAAATAGACAATTTATCGCAAGGCTGAATTATACAGCAGCCACATAGCAGATTAGAGGCAGCGAAAGACATCGATGTTGACCTGCAGTGCTACTACTGATGGCTAGTTCTAGCGAAAGCTATCGATGGAGACCTGCAGTGCTACTACTGATGGCTAGTTCCATGCTTACCGACACACTGGGGTGTTTGGCCGGACCATTGACCGCTGGCCTCGCACATACGGGCCTGGCTTCCGAGCAGCGTGTAGCCAGTGTGACAGGAATAGGAGACCTGGGAGCCAAGGTGAGTGGTGACGCGGTACCGATCGCCGTTAATCGGCGCAGCCACATCTCCACAGTCGATGGCTGCACAGTACAGCACATGCACAGCATAGAACAGAGCGAAACATTCAGACCAAGTGCCACACATTGCATTGTAAGGAGCCGTCACAGTATGCTAAATTGCAACACATAATACACTTGAGTTTGTATACAATTGGATCAACTTTGACAATCACATTCTTCATAGAACGTTGTGTTAAGAGGTTACACAGAATCTGGACAATGAAAGAACTACTTACGCTCGCAAGTAGGCAGTGGTCCACTCCAGCGACCGGAGGCCAAGCAGGTCAGGACACGTTCGCCGCGGAGAGTGAATCCATCCTCGCAGGCACCGAACGTGACCCTGCCGTCAGGATACGTGTATCCACCAACGCCCTTGATTTCTTTCAGGTTCTGCACAGTTCCGGGTGGGCCACAGGAGATGGCTGAAGAACAAGCAAGACCAGAAACTCTGAGTCACCCACCCATGAAGAAAGAATAATACAATAACCAGAAGTAGCGCACCAACCATCTCACTACATCCCTAAGACCAGTTGTCCACGGCTACTCTCAAAATAAGAAAAAAAAGGAAATTTCCATCTCCGTTTCCAACGGAACTCCCGATGGCCGCTAACTCCCAGAATATTCCAGGGGCTGACAGTGGGGCGAGGGGGGGGGGGGGGGGGTGAGGGAAATCGTCTCACAACCGCTGGGAGAAGTGTCGCAAGCCCTATCCGTCACATCCATGCCACCCTAAGTCACCCTGTATAAGGTTAAATTAAATTCTTCCACCGGATGGTCCTTGACGGCAGGTCAGGGTGCTCAATGAGAGTGCAGGCAGATCAGTACTTCAGAGCTTTCTCACGCACACACACACAAGGTCCGGTGGAACGCGTCTTCTACTCGGAGAAAATTCATCCAACAATAGTATGTGCAGTTGGGTGTGCAAAGTTACCTGTGCAAGATGGTACGGAGCCAGACCAGTCACCGGACGCCAAGCAGATTCTCTCGTCGTTGCCGTTCAGAATGTATCCGCGCTGGCACTGGTAGTTGGCGTGCGAGCCAAACGTGGTGGAGCTGACCGTTCGCACTGCATTATTGGTGCGGCCTGGATCTCCACAGTCAACCACTGCAAACGCAGAGCACAGAGGCACAAATAGTATCACTTATACATGGAATAATCATGAACAGGAAGATAGGTCTCACACAAGAATTAAGAAATACAACCCAACTAACAAAAAATTACTTTATTTACAAGTATAAACACATTCCATAAAAGGGAAGAAAAATGCAATGCTTTGCAGAGCTAAGTGAACAAAAGAGTGTCATTAGACATGCCACCACTTACATCGGCAAGTCGGTGGCTCTGCGGACCACATGCCATCGGCTTGACAGAGAGCAGACTGGGCGCCAGTCAGAGCATAGCCCATGTTGCAGGAGAATCTGTTCACACGTGTGCACAGAAACCAGTCGAAAAAAAACCAAACTTAGGAGTTGCGCAATGGCAAACATGAAAAGCGGAACCGCCAGTTGAAAGACGGAGAGTCTATGCTACACACAGATATGCTCCACATGATCCAAAAAGGTTGCAAAGAGAGGAGATATCATTGACACTGCAGCTTGTCCAATACATGTACTTTGAAGAACATAGTATCGCATGGGGTAATGCCCCCGTCACTCACCGCGCAATGGAGGAAAACGATGTGGTTGGAGCGCTGGAACGGCCATTTCTTGGGCGACCAGGAGTACCACAGTTGACAACTGTAGCACAGGTGGGAAGTGAAAGCACGCAAGAATGTCTGCACAGGCTCACGCATGACATTGCAGCCAAGAGAAATTATTGACAAAGTATTACAAAGTACATGAAAAACAAAGACAGAAAAACAGTTGATCATAATGTAGTGGTTTTAGACAATGGTGACAATGATGACACCCAGTACAATGACGCCATCACTTCATGAAGCTTACGCTCGCAAGTTGGCTTATTGGAAGAGTAGACGCCACCGGCAAGACATGTCGCTACGGACTGTCCGATCATGCGATAACCTTCGTTACAGGTGTACGTTACTTTGGAGTTGAGAGCGTAGGAGTCGGCGGAGCGGCCGCCATTGTCGGGTGCACCTGGGTCCTCGCAGCGAACGGCTGTGGAAAGAAAAAGGATACATTGGACATGAAAACACTTTGAAACTGAATTACACCACCTGGACACTTCTCAAAAGTATACATGTACCAAAATATTGAAGCTAAAGCACAGAAATGTGTTATGGCCTTCACAAACAAATTATTGATGACTAATACTGAGGAGAGTGGGAGGCAAAGCAATCATAGTCCCTTCAAAGCTATGTCGTACTTACGGACACACATGGGAATAGGCTTGTCCCAGGTGCCGTCAAAGCTACAGGTCAGCACGGCGTCTCCACGCAGCATGAAGCCGTTGTCGCAGCTGAAGGTGACGGTGTCGTGGGGATACGGGTTCCTGTGCGGGCTGACTACACCGTCGGCAATATTACTCAGACGGGGGCACTGGCGATCTACATGTTCAACAAGAAAAATAAGTTAAAAAAAGTAAGTCAACATGTTGAATACTAACTAAGGAATGCCGTTATCGAGCCAGTGTTGATATACAGTCAGACTACATTTGTGTCGATGCAGTCCTCCGCAAATTTCCAGCCAGCAAGAGAAAAACAATACTTGCAATGTACTACAAGTACACGAACATACAAACTACGATTCACACAATCTGCACACATGTGATGTGCTATCAACAAGTAGTCTCCTTACAGCGGCATGTAGGCTTCTCAGAGAAGGTGGGCACTGAATCTCCCTGCTCCAGTCGGCAGATGCTGATTTCTGGTCCGACCAGCAGGTATCCCTGTGTGCAAATCCACTCGATGGCGCCACCAAGAGCATTGCCACTCTGTGCACCACGGAATCCATTCTCAAGGTTACCGGGATCCTCGCAATCTAGGATGATCGACACAAGACAGCAGGTTATAAATCAGACAAAGGCCAGCTCACATCATTGATTTCATCCTCGCAGAGGAAACAGAAGAGAGAGTACAAGATGGGCAAGGAGTGAGCAGTCATCAGAGCCTAGGGAAAGCACCTAATTCGAGAGCTATGCAGAAGGATACATGTGGATGCAACTTCTTTCCGGAGTTCGCATAAGCATTTCTAGCACACCTCCGCACCACTAGAACAAACAATACCCCTGAATTGCTCTCCGTACAGGGTTCCGTATAAAGTCTAGCAATACGGCTCTCCCAACTCCCAAGCAACACTGCACCGATTGTGGCTGGTGTAAGGTGCGAGAAAGAATCTGCCTTGGGCAACGGCAAGTACAGTTTACTCCGTTCAATCACTTACTGCAGGTCATGAGGTTGCATGGCTCGTCTTCATGCAGTGCCGGGCAAGCAGCGCCGAGCGGACCGGCCGTGGCGGTGACCGTACGAAGACGACGGCGAGTGCCAGCACCACAGGTGGCAGAGCACGTTCCCCAGTCTTCCCAATCTGAAACCAGGCAATCTGCACACCAAAACAAGCAACAAACACACACGGAGGGAACTCACCACCAGATGAGACCAAAATCATGCCGGCCGCTGTACAACTAGCAACATGCCGTGTTGCAAAAGTAGAGCTGTTCATTAGAACGAACTCAGTCCAAAATCAGTACAACAGATGATAACTGAACACTCACCTTGGTTGCAGGCTTCGTCTTTGACACACTACAACAAACACAAAACCAAGACCACAAGAGCAATACTCAAACAAACCTTCATCTTACCCAGTGAACAGAACCAATTTTACTCAAACAGCACGTACTCATTCAGGGTGGAACATTACTCAGAGACAACCAGATCGAATACAAAGGGAGCGACAAGCACTGGTTGACGAAGGCCACTCACCTGCCACTGTCCATTGGAGCAGAAGAAGAGTTTCTTTGTTTCAGGATCATATAGGGTCTTGCCAGAGTTGGCTGCTGTGCAGGCTGGAGCAGCGGAGATGAGAGTCTGCAAACAACATGAAACAAGTACACCAGAAATTATTATCGGAACATAGTTATTATTGAGAGTTTGCAGAGTGAATGGGAAGAGAACGAGTCTGCTCTGAAACCTTTTTTCCTAGTTATTATTTTCATGAAAAATTGGCACCAAGAGAATCAGTAGCAAGCAAACAACTAGAAGTTTGTCCAAGAAACAAAGTACACCGAAAGCCAACAGCACTTACTTTTTCGATGTAAGGTCCATATTCTCCTTGTACACCCTGCAGGAGAGCAACACATCATGATGGACAACAATACACTAGTTTAAAAACATGATGCGTGCACACACGCATACACACACACACACACACACACACACACACACACACACACACACACACATACATCCACGAACACACGAATACACACACAGACAGACAGATACACACACACACGCACGCACGCACACACGCGCGCGCATACACACACACAAACACACACACACACACACACGGATGGATGAAAGAAGGAGCACAGATGCAGTCAATTGCAAAGTGACATGCAATGTTTTACTTGGTCTGTGTGCGTGTGTGTGTGGGGGGGGGGGGGGGGGTGCAAGTATGGCACACAATCCACTTCACATAACACAGCCTAAATAATGCACATTGAGCACTCCCTGGTATGTAACAGTTGTACAACATGTACCCGGCCACTTATGCGCCAGTCAGTGCACGCAAACTTTACCTCTGATCCTGTATCGCCGTCTGCGCCAACAGCTCCAGTTTCACCTTTGTTACCCTGTGGACCAAGAAAGCAGAGAACAAAATACTACTCTACTCCGCCGCACTGTGAGTGTACAACGTATGGCTGTAGTCTAATGTAGACTTCGAAGAACATGTACATGTGCTTGTGCACAAGTACATGTACATACATGTGCTTGTGCACAAGTACAAGAAGTAAAGTTCGCACATCCGCATTACCACCGGCTATACAATTGTGTTGAGAAACACAACCAGTAATGTCAAGGTATCCTGATACAGAGATTACGACAAAAACAAAATACTCGCAAAACTCCTCTGCACAAGTCGATGAGAATGCAGATAGCGGCAGTACATTGTACTCACTGTGTCACCCTTAGCTCCCATAGCACCCGTAGCACCGGTATCACCCTGCACACAAAACATACCAATTCAGCAAAGTTGAAGGACGGTAATTCGGGTTTCGTACGCTCTTGCCTTTCCACTTTCCACGCAACTCGAGTATAGCATGTAAGGAAACACAACATGCCTCTTGCAGCAATAGGGGGTGGTGTTGATGACCAGATTCCACGTGGGCACCATACGGGACGGGGCGGAAGTACATTGTAGATATCAAAGGAGCATCTTCGAAGTCAACTATGTGAAACTGATGATCTGCACTGTTGGTCAAACATAGCAGGGACGTATCCAAGGGGGAGTGGGTTCCGCGGGTTCCGAGGAACCCCCTAAATTTTGCAAATGTACCACTGGAAACCATATACATGTACATTACATGCATCAGCTATTCAGTTTTGGTTAACACTGGAAACCCCCTGTGCAGATCTCTGGATCCGCCCCTGCATAGTGTCCTCTGGAAGTCACACTCAATGTACACCAGCTAGTGAATAAGCACACTACAAAAAGACACTACACTGAACTAATTTCAAGCACCTCCGTGGACAGCAGCTTACCATCTCGCCAGTCTCTCCATCAGCTCCGAATATTCCTTCAATACCCTGCAGACGGCAGCAAAAAGCAGCGAAACGTAACTCGCATGTTTAATTAAAACACTGTCATTACTCACCTGTATGACGATGTCTCTGCGTCCAAGGCATAATAAAACCAGATTGTCTAAATATGCGAATATATTGAACCCCAATTCCTGATTTCATGGTGTGAGTCAGCAGATTTTCTAATGGGAGCTAAATATACAGCGCGAGTCAGCGAGTCTAATGGGCGCTATGCATGCAGCGCGAGTCGCTGGTGCAAGTGCAGTGTTGTGCCATGACTTTGCCAAAGCATCCCAAACTGACAATGTAATCGCGCAACCTGTATGTGTACAGTTCTTACCATTGCACCACGATTTCCTCGCGGACCTCTTGAGCCACGTACACCCTTGGAGCCTTGTACTCCCACTGCGCCAGTGAGACCGGCAAGGCCAGGAATTCCTTTAGCTCCATCAGGACCATCATTGCCATCATGACCCTATTTTCACAATGCACAGACAGCCAGACAGCCAAACACACGTGTAGCCGCACATACACACATGCACGCACACACACAGCTCGCAAAATAAGTCTGTGACCATTGAGCAGCAAAATGCACAGCCGCCCTTTCCTACAGGTGTGTGCAGCTCTCCCCAGCAGCAGCCAGAACCTCTGCAGAAGTTGATCGTATCACAAAAAATATCACATGGTTCGTAAAGAGAAGTGTCTGTATCCTAGCAGGCATCGCCAGATCTACACCACAGATTCCCGGTACACTTGAATACTCCTTTTTCCAGCCTTCCGGGACACGGCCCTGGTCCGCAACTGGAAACCATTGGGAACTCAGAACGTACACGAGCAGTACATTCATGCATGATAGACTGTTATTTCATTAGCGGTAGAGCACTCCTGTATACGGTACACGCACGGCCTTCGCCGTTTGCGCTATATGCACAGCTCACTGGATTTTACGTGGGAGTACGGGGCACAGTACGTTCTGTACAGGTGTAAACTCTCTCAGTGTCTTGCACCTCAATCAGGGGCTATGCACAGCTACTCTTCAGCACAGCTGTTCTGATTCTTACCTTAGCACCCGTTGCTCCATCAACTCCGGGTGTTCCGTCTACACCGGGATCGCCGCGGCGTCCCTGTACGGATCACACAGAGGACGAGGAAAGTGGGATCATGAATCATTCCAGCGCAGGCAGGAATCCCTTTTCTGATAGTGCATGCCTGCAAATACTGTCGTGTCCATCAACACTAGCATATCCTCTAGCAACTAGCACTGTTGCGCAACGGGTCTAGAGTGAAAGACTTTTCATGGCTTATTTATGTTGTTCTTTAGTTTTATTGTGTAGTGGTTTAGTCTTGACTTTGTTGCATTGTTTTGGTTGCATGTGCAGTCTTCTGTACATGTATACACCATGCAACGCTTACGTCATCGTCGCGCGTGCAACATTATTTCGTGCGCATGCTCATTATATACTGCCGCAACGTTTGTCCTTTTCTTTAGTTATCAGTTTTGCCTCGTCGTGTCCAGTCTTCTCGTCTGTCCGTCTTCGTCTTGTCCAGATATTATGTAGAACTTTTAGTTCAGTTGCGCTGTTGTGTGTGGCGAGTCGGATGGGCGGGGAGGCTGGGCCCCTGACGCCTGGAGAAGATGTGCTGGTGCACGAAATTGGCGACCACGCCAGGATTGTCAGGAAGACGAGGAACTTGCAGGAACTCCGGTGCGAAGGAAAACGCATCGAGAACAAATAACCATTAGTACGTCTACGTCGTTGGGAGGCAGTTTGCACCGTGCATGCGTGGACGAGTGACCAACGAGGGAGCTGCGGATTGAGTGACCTCCGAGGGAGCTGCTTGAGTCCGACGACAAGGACGGTGCGAAGGAAAACGCATCGAAATCAAATAACCATTTGTACGTCTACGTCGTTGGGAGGCAGTTTGCACCGTGCACGAGTGGACGAGTGACCAACGAGGGAGCTGCGCCGCTGTCCGCAGTTTGTACCTGGGATTGGGTGACCTCCGAGGGAGCTGCTTGAATCCGACGACAAGGACGGTGCGAAGGAAAACGCATCGAAATCAAATAACCCACGGTACGGTCGTCCACAGTGGAGGAACCCTGCGGGGCGCTGTTCTCGACGACAAGAAGAAGGACATGGAGGGTGCGAAGGAAAACGCATCGTGAACAAATAACCCGCCATGAGTGTGAAGGAGTTTAGAAGGTGCTCCCGCTTTGATTTGTTGTAGAAGTTTGTAGTTTTGACTTGCTCGATTTGTTTGGTCTGTACTCGATGTGTTGGTGCCTGGCCTGGTGATAGGTCGGATGTACTGTAGTTTATTGCCTTGATTTGCTGGTGCCTGGTGACAGTTCGGAAGCTGACTTCCGTTTGTATTTTCTATTGATCGTTCATTTGTTATTATTTATTTTGCCGTTTGTGAGTCTTAGATTATTTATGCGTGCAGCATAGATGATAATGTAGTACAGTTTGCAGCCTCCTTGAGCCTTGAAAAGGTCTTTGGCGGGGAGTATGTTGCGCAACGGGTCTAGAGTGAAAGACTTTTCATGGCTTATTTATGTTGTTCTTTAGTTTTATTGTGTAGTGGTTTAGTCTTGACTTTGTTGCATTGTTTTGGTTGCATGTGCAGTCTTCTGTACATGTATACACCATGCAACGCTTACGTCATCGTCGCGCGTGCAACACTATTTCGTGCGCATGCTCATTATATACTGCCGCAACGTTTGTCCTTTTCTTTAGTTATCAGTTTTGCCTCGTCGTGTCCAGTCTTCTCGTCTGTCCGTCTTCGTCTTGTCCAGATATTATGTAGAACTTTTAGTTCAGTTGCGCTGTTGTGTGTGGCGAGTCGGATGGGCGGGGAGGCTGGGCCCCTGACGCCTGGAGAAGATGTGCTGGTGCACGAAAAGCACATCATAGCAGGAGTGTGTTTTCCAGCACATTCACAGACCACACAGTCCTTGCGTGGTGCCAAGCAATGTGTTGGAAATTGGACATTCATGCAACTGTGAAGTTTCGAGGCTGTCATGGTAACTGAGTCTGCTGTTGCGCTCTCGACGTTCCCTCGCAATGTCCTACTCGGTGGCAATCATGTTGTCCATTATTCCTCTGTTTCTTTCCTTTGTCGGTTCTACAAGTAACAATAGCTTCCTTATCTCCATTGCACTAAACGTGAGAGCTGGCGAAAAAGGAGTTCTAGAAGATAAACATCGCTAACCTGAGGACCGGGTTGACCGATTCGACCTGGACCACCGAAAGGACCTGGTGAACCCTGTGGCAAAAATGGCAACAGCAACAGAAAACAAATGCCCGGAATAAGAATACAATGTACAGACACAACAAATGTCCCCTGCTAGAACACAGTTACATATCTCTAGAAAAGAACGGGGATTGTGCCAATTAGTCAACAATCTCAACATCCAGGCTATTAAAATTCTGTAATTCGTTCTCGCAATCTTCCCTATTACTATTATTACGTGTGTGCTGGAAGCACAGATAGGTCCAAAGAACCCCTGTCCATACATTGATCTAAACAAGGGCAGTACATGCATTGATCTAAACAAGGACAGTACATGCATCGAAACAAAACTGCCCAGTGATCTATGTTCAGTGCTAGATGTGCAGTGCCCCGTGACGTCCACATTCCTCCGCTGTGTGCCCTAGAGCCCTATCTCACAACACCACTCATCTCACAACACCACTCATCCCACAACACCACTCATCCCACAACACCACTGATCTCACAACACCACTGATCTCACAACACCACTCACAGGAGTCCCAGCTTCACCACGAGGACCAGGATTGCCTGATGGGCCTTCTGGGCCCTGTGCACATAAAAGAGAGAAACACAGAGAAAGAAAATAGTTCAAGCTACAAACACAGTCATGGTATCAAAGGTTGCATTGGACCACCCTGTTCTGAAAGCTTGAGAAAAGTATACAACTATTATAAAATACGTTTCTGGTACACACTGCACACTCAAACTGCTGACAAACAAAAGAACATTGAGAACTCACCGGAACACCATCATCGCCAGGAGTGCCATCCATACCAGGTGCACCCTGCCAGGAACAACAATCATATTCACACACGGCAAAGGAAACACAAAAAAGCGACTTTTAAAACAAGTACTTTAATTAATAAGACCACATATTTTACGCAATTAGAATAAAGTTAACGGTCTCCGGATTTTTGCTCGTCAGCAACGTGAAATGCTAACAAATGCTGACTGTCGAACCCAGAAAAAGACTGTACCTACTAAATAGTATGCACAGTAAAACCTGTAACTAAAGACCACCGTGACTAGCGACCAGCCTGGTACTACAGTAAAACCTGTAACTAAAGACCACCGTGACTAGCGACCAGCCTGGTACTCCAGTAAAACCTGTAACTAAAGACCACCGTGACTAGCGACCAGCCTGGTACTACAGTAAAACCTGTAACTAAAGACCACCGTGACTAGCGACCAGCCTGGTACTACAGTAAAACCTGTAACTAAAGACCACCGTGACTAGCGACCAGCCTGGTACTACCGACCACTTTGCCAGGCACGGACGGTCTCACATTCAAAATGCACTGTGACTAGCGACTACCTGCTGAACGCGACCAGCGACCGCCTTTTCTTGCCCAAAGACGATTATTGACCCACAACTAGCGACCGCGATGTACGAAATCAAATGACATTATGTTGCTCGAAGCTCCTTCTTGAAAATTTGCTGATTTTCCATGGTCCTGAAAGGACTCTTTCGATACTACAGCTGAACAAATGAACACAGGTAATTTTGACTGTGGAATCGGTGTGGACTGCACTACACCTGTCCAAATTTCAAGCTCTGTCAAGAATAAACACGATAGGAAACATCTTGGAGAGCGCATCGAAAGCGCTCTCTGATCGATGTTACTACTCGGAGCAGAAACGAAGACAGAGCGGCTCTGACACCCAAGTCATACAGACGAATCGACGATGGCATCAAGGAATCCAGAAACAAGCAGCACCGCAAGGTCCTGATGCTGAAGGACCGCGTTCAAGCAATCGAGAAGTTACAACAAAGACAGTCGGTAGGATTGGTCACATGAACAAATTTGAAGCCCAGCGTAAAACGAAACTTCTACAGGGAACGTTTGATTCCTGGTTTCAGAAGTAGCAGCTGAATTTGATGTCTGCAAAAAGTAGCCTTCTCCCTCTGTCTCTCTCCGTCTCTCTCTCTCTCTCCAAGTGTTGTTTGACCTGAAATAAGAATGGCATTGCGCAAGTCCTGGGGAATCGTATTAGCTGCATTTTGACACACATATCATATACGGGATCCATATATGGTCGCGCAGTGCAAACCTCTAACTAAAGACCACCTGCCACTAAAGACCACTTTTGCTGTCACCAAGGCAAGGGGTGGTCGTTAGTTACAGGTTTTACTGTACACTGGTTTTTGCAGATACAGACTTTAATAATATAAAAAAGATCGTTAATGATCTTACCGCTGCGCCAGGTGATCCAACGTCTCCTTTCACAGCTCGTGCACGTGCAGCAGCCTATACACCAAGCACACACAGATACAGGTAGACACACGGATGTGTGTGAACACACATACATATATGTGCACGAGCGCGCGTGCACACACGCACACATTCGCACAAAACATAACGAATCATAATTAATTAACATGAGAAATTTCTACCAGCATAATACTGAGCATGCGAACAACTACTAATACAATGTGGTAAGTTGATTGACAAGACACATTGCAGACAGCTACTTCAACAGGCATTATTTTTATATGCACGGGAGTTTTAAATAACAGCATCCAAGCAATGCAATGCACGTGTACGTCACAATGTTCATCTCGGTTGATGCGGAAAGGGGAGGGTGAACTTCAAAGTGTTAGGCTATGTAAAGAACATTCTCTGTGCAATGCTTACATATTCGCTTGCAGGCCATCCAGCCCAGCCACCATAGCCTGGTTCGCCGGGTTCTCCAACGCCACCAATTTGACCCTAAGAAGGAAAGAGACAGAGGAAATGATAAAACTAACTTTACTTTCAGCAAGACAAATGAAGAGGTTTGACACAACATTGTCAGCAAAACTCCGCATTAAAGGCACTGCACGAAAACACAATATGCCTATAGTATCGAAACCAACAGTCGCGTAGATGCTCAAACAAACCGAGTCGGGTCAACAGGTCAAGGAGATCTCTGAACAATTGGACAACTTACAGCACGACCTCTTGGGCCAGGAGATCCTTTCCGTCCCTACAAGGAGTGAGTAAGCAAAGGGAGAACATGAGACAGTGCTGAGTGACAGTTTCGGCAAAACGTGCAACGCAATAAGAAGGAGAACAACACAAGCCACAACAATGACTTTGTGAATCATTTTAGAAACATCTCCATGGTTACACCCGTCTACAATGTGGTCCTGGTCCTGGCCGACACACTCTACTTCAAGTACTTGCGCATCACTAGCATAGCCAGGATAACTACGTTGAAATATTAATATTGCTGACCCTCCAGACAGTTGTTTGCTCCAAAAGAGCTCATCAGTGAAGGTACTAAGAAATGAGTAACTGAGGAGAGTGAATGGTGTTATACAGGACAAAATGACGCCGTTTCTGAATAAGTCTGGCATTTACTAGGGAGCTGAGGTGCTAAAGGTGATACCAGTAACAGCTCTAACCGAGGTGATGAAGCAAGCGCGCAGTGCTGGGACATGGCATGCAGTGCTAGAAATGATGCTGAAAAGCAATCGCCAGACAGTAGCTGTGAGTGGTACTACTGGTAACCACATATACAAATGAAAAGGAATATTGAGAGGTTGACGATTGTGCTGGTCCCAGTGAAGTGACAACCATAGAACCAAATTGTAAAAAGGCAATGGCTATCACTCACTCTCCATACAAGCATAAGCACAAGCAAGATTGATGGTGTGTACCAACGTCGTCACGTACCTCATCACCCTTGCAGTTGACGGGACAGAGGTCCGGGTTTTCCGGATGAATGATGCGATGGCCGACGACCTCGCCCTTCGGCTGTACGTCGGTGATCAGGGTCTTCTGTCCCCGGTTGACGTGGTCATGCGCTCCCTCGTTGTCATGACTGTGAATGATCTCAGCACCGTTCTCTACATGACCATGCACCTCTCCTGCAAATAGTGAAAACGAGAAAAGCATCGTATTCAGTAGACCACAGAAACAACTGCCCTAGACGCTGTATGCCCCCCCCCCCCCGAACACTCTCTCATTCGCCATTTCTGAGCTAAAAATGTGTCGTTCCTATGGGATTTTCAGGGGCACATCCTATAATTGACATGGACTTTCCTATAGTGTGAAGGTGGTCTTGAGCCAAGTCAAATATTATTTTGATCATCGCCCACACCTGCCCCGAAAATAGGGCCACCCCATGTGATTATATTTCCCGGTGTGATTTCGTAAATATGTTTTCATCGAGCACCCTCACTGATTTTGAATGATTCTCATACTATTCATGTACATACAATTGTCATCCAGCAGTTTCGCGGTCGACGTTGTATGTGGGCAAACGTGAAAAAGTAAAATAAAATGTTGTACCCGCCCGTTCTTGTCAGCGTTTATTTTTATTTTTTATCGGGAAGAGAGTTGTGATTTTTAAAAGTGCAATTAAGTGCACATGTACGAGCAGGCATACATTGTCTGAAATGCATTAGAAAACTACGCGGTGCACAATAGAACACCCTGTTGATGGTCTGCACTCACTCCCTTTCACAGCAAATTTACCCTGCATTTGACTATCTGTATAGCCTTCCGCTTCGTGTGATTACTGGGCACGGTGGGATTATTCCAATCGATTACTCGTCACCGTCTCATTGTCGCCGCTAATCACGAGTGCAGAAGGCAAATGATGTGAGGAGTGCCTGGTAGTGTGTAGGTTTTTTATAGTACAGGCCCGCGGAAACCGGTCCGGTTGGTCAGGTTATTACCGGACCAACTTTATTTGGCCACCAACACGTGTTTACCACTGTGGAGGGCATGTGTACCCGTCATATCATACACAAACTGTATGAACGGCCATGATACTACCGGACCAATCAGAAACTGCTCCCGGTGGTCATGTAGTAGTTATGCCAATGATGTCATAGTTGTGAGTCACCGGAACCGCTCATGGCCGCTATATGTATACAGCGTTAGCCAGCGAAACCACTTATGGGCACTATGTGCACAGCGTGAGTCGCTAGTGCATCGGTGTGCCGCGACTTTGCCAAAGCATCTCAGCTGATGATGCAATTGCACAACATCTATATTGTGTGTAAGTTTGTATGGAGTGGTAGTCTCGCACTTCTGTTGCAATATGCGGTGAACGTGCTCGACATCCCATAAAGAATTGTGCACTGCTCTTCGGCAGTCATGGATGTTGGGTTCTGTGTACTGTATTCCCATGTATGTGTGTATATTACATTCCTGGTGTGCACAAATGATGAACACAGATGCCAAGTGGGTATTTGCTCAGACAGAGTTTGCCTACGGTATGCTGTCAATTACCTTCCTGGCCCAATGCTGCGCCGGCTGTGAGGGATATTACTAGGGCAACAGCTGAAAGGGCACTGCATGATCAAAAACCAGCACCGGCACATGAACAGGCAGACACACATGTACACACACAACACACACACACGCATGAACACACAAACACATGCTGTGCTTTGGAAATGAATGCATACGCACTGACATGCTGGCACAAGAACTGTGTCTGGTCTGCACGCACACCTGAACCATACAAAAAGTAACAAAACATGCCCTCTGTGGCTGGTTCCATCATGTGCACAGTACAAGCAGACAGCACTGAGCATGAGTCTGTGTAACCCTACCATTGCTACATTGATCCAGTGAACTGAAAGCATAATTATTTTCATAATGGTCTCACTGAGCCTGCTTCAGGACATGCACCATAGCCACTAATGCAGCGCAGACAAGCAAGAGTCTTACCTCCACCGAGTCATGGTGTCTCCACACCTAATCCACACAAGAAGGCGCGGTCCTGGACTGAACGACAACAACTATCTCCGTGCTAATCGATTCTCCCAGGCTCTTCTTTCCACATTGAACAACACCAAGGACTAGGTGTGAAGCACCAACCACTAGTTCGGAGTTCTGGAGCAAGAGGATTGCATGGATAAGTCCGTCCGGCAGCCCAGTCTCTCAGCGTCTCTCCGTCCACAACCATGTCACTGCCCTGCAGGAGCTGTTCTTGCAGCTGCTGCTGATCTTTGGTCGGACGTAGAAGCGCAATGGGCCACGCGCACTGCCGCACATACATCGAGCCATGGCATGGCTGTCCACAATCAACACGCCTGTCGTCTTCACGACTTCTTTGGACAGTGACACCACGTGAGCGAGGACCTGCAAGCCCCATGCTGAAGTATGGAAGCAGACTACCGACAAAGGCTTGTGACATGTTTGCGGCGCGGCCAGTGGCCACAGCAAACGCCATCTCCTCCGACCGTGAGACAGTTTCCCGTGTACCCTCAGCCTATTCTGCAACTCCCAGAGGCAACGAAATGACAGCAGCTGACGAAGAATCTTCCTCGCGTCTGTCCCAGGACGGATTTACGATTACCGTAGGCTAGAAGTTCAAAACGTCCGAGACAAGTTAGGCGTGAGTGAATCAACCGCACTCGACATGCACCTGTCCATACCACCCAGAAGCTGGTCCTGTTTGGGGATTGAAGAAGGCTAGACCGGAGAGAACGTAGTTCTTTTTCAGTCACTATGCTATGCAACGACAGCTCATATACCTGATAATCCACTTCCTCCGCGCCGCACAGTTACTGAGTTAGCAACTATCGTTTGACTGGCATGGAGCTCTGGCTGAAAGCGCTGAGAAAGATTCGAAAGTCTGACTTCGCTTGGCAAAGACTGCCTACAGCCCTCAAAATGTTGCACTTGAAGCCACAGAGCAGCCAGTGACCGCCGTATCAACTACAAACTGTTACTTGGCTACAAATCAAGCTTCAAGTGCAAAACAACGAATCCGTCCTCGTTTCTTCGACTTCCGTTCCCAGAAGCACCCATATACTACGCTCAGTCGAGTGACTCTGCAGATCCATCGCGCGCGCGCATGCGAGGCACATTGCACATGAACAAACATTTTGAAAAAATAATCCTGAGCATGACTATACTCGGAACAGTTTGAAAAGATGTGAAAAACAAACTACTTTGTAACGTGTTACTTTTCGGAACCTTTTTCTACAGCATGTGATGATGACACTTCAACATTTCCGTTTTCACTCTTGACTTTTCAACGGTTGTAGTCGTTCTTGAACTTACTTCCAGTCCAGGCTAAACCTTATTATCTCCAAGCATTTCATCAGTCAGGGTGCCTGTGTTGTTGCTGTGGTGCAGAGTGATATTCCTCGAGTGGACCGTAAGTAACTGCATTACAATTTACATGGACAATGTCATGGACCGTTTGTACATGTTTGATACATCCAGATCAATGATCATGATCATAAACTTGCATCTTTCAAAGCACTGGTACATCTTCCCGTTTTGGCTGCCATCGGAAGCCATAAGATGTTGAATAAATAAATAAATAAATTACAGAGTACAGTACAGATTCAGTAGAAGTATACGATTACCCATAATAATGATCCTACATGTGCATGTTAGATTTTAGTCCTCCAATATTCCAATGAATATTCCAGTTTCAGAAGAAATTACAACTTGGTTGATCCAGTACACAGTTATGGTGTCAGCCTGCGGAAAATAAATCTGCATGAAGCAACGCGGGGAACCGGGAGGAATACAAGACTAGCATGCTTGTGGCAAACGGTGAAGTGTGCACATCTATTTTACCACTAGCTATACTATAGTTGCCTGTACTGAAGTAGAATCTTTTCCCTGCTTGAGTGGAAAGCCTGCCGAATTCAAGCATGCAAACTCCTGTTTTGAATGTGTTTCAATGTAAGATCAACACACAGTAGTCTACTTTGTTGCCTGATAATTGCTCGGTGTGAACGCCGGAGTTGTAACCAATCATTCTGCCTTACGTGTAAAATCAGTAACACTTCTGCAAAGGAGTCTGGCCTTTCTAGAAGGTCACAGCTTGGTACACGGACTTATTCTTATGGTACAGTATACTGTTGTCATAAAAACTGGGCTTATTTTTGTACAAATAATGGGTTCGCAGGGCCAGGTTTCTCTTCAAATCAGTCTTGTATTGCAACCCAGTATTTCTATATTATGTGAATGGAGTCAGAGAGCCCAGTGAGTCTAATGTGCCCATCTTAAATCAAAAACCTGGCAAGATTTGAAACAGGCTTCTACACGAGACAGGCAGATGTTTATGCACAAGGCAGTCCAGTAGTTGCATTGTGTTCATGGCCACACCATGATCCCATGGCGTAGATATACCTCCTCCTTCATGATAATCCATCGGCAGCTCGGAGCCACCCGACGACGGCGGCGACTAACGATAGCTACATGATGATTGTACATTTGCCGGTACAGCGTACTGGTCAGAACTGGGGGTAAGTGTTGGGTGTCCCTGGATTGGTATTGCTTGGCTATCATGCATAGCAGTCCCCATCTCGATCATGCTGCTGTGGGGTAATATTGTAGACATGGGCACTGCTCGGTAGTATACCGTCCGAAATCTAGCATCACAATGATGAAAACGTAAGCATTCTCCATTGTTGTCATTAGGCGCATGGAACTGAGTTGAGAGATAAGAACTTACTTGCTGTCAGTACTTGACACTTGGCTGGTGGAATGTCTGCGAGGCAGGTCGGCAGAGCAGTGGATTTTCTTTTGGCTACTTCGAAGTAGTTTCAAGTCCCCACGAGACCCTCAGGCTACACAGCAGGCGATAAACATTGGACGCCGTCGCGCTAAGTGCCAATGGGCCGCAGCAGGTCTCTGTCGTGGCTAGAGCGTTGGATTTACCCATTGATCGGATTAAGCTTTTCCATCGCCCCAGGGGATTCGGCGTTGGGCTCGCCAGTCTCCTAAATAAGGACTGTCACGAACAGTTTGGCGAGAGAAAATACTTGTGGCAGGCTGTTGGTTTGTGGGTACACTGATGACAATGGCATTATTCACTAGCTTGCTTCATTGTACCAATCCTCGGCTGGCTGCCTATCTACTTCTGTGCATCACGGAGGTATATTTGGTGGAGCAATCCTCGCTTTTCAGATACCAGCTAGTTACCCTACCATGCCTATGGCTGCATTGCCTGTTCCTATCCTGCTAAGCCCTTTACCCTACCTTCCTTGTTATCATGACTCTGTGCCGGTTATGGTGGACATAACTGGGTATTGGCAAATCTCTTGTCTTTCCTCCTTGCAGTATCTGAAGATGCTTCTGATTCTTTCAGCTCCTTTACATGCATTGTCAACATTGCCATGCAAGTTAATTTAAGCATGCCAACAGGTTCGCTGTGCAACAAATAATGCCCCACGCGCTGGATGAAAACCAACGGATCCTTGCATAGCTTGCATAGGAAAACCAAAAAAAGTCTAAGAGAAACGGGGAGTGCTTGTATGCACAACGTGACACAACTTTGTGCTAGCTGTGTACAGTGTGAAGTGCGGACATAGGCTTGTTCTGAAGACGGTTATAACGATGCACGCTATTGCTATGTATACATGCACGCAATATGGTACGCACCCTACGGTGCTTACATCTCGAAGGAGAAGAGGCTGATAGAAACGAGACTTGCAGTGTCAGAGGAGAGCATGTTTCTTCACCAGAGGAATTATTTGAGAACGATGTTAGAATCAAGATACACATTGAGAGCACAGGAAATATGCCTAGCGGCCAGTTTTCTGCTTTGTGGCTGACGAGACGGAACAACGGACATGGGTGATATTGCTTGTTCAGAGTGAGTGCCTCTCTGAGTCCGTTGGAAGCAGTGAGTAACGTGTCACGGATGTGTTACAGCATTTTACAGAAATACCACAATCGTAGGTACAGCAGCAGCACCACCACCACCAGCAGTAGTAGCAACAAGAGATCTGCAGCAAGACTCGGGCATGCATATCAAATGGATGTTGGTTGTCCCAAGACTGGCTTCAGAGGTAGCTTGTAGTGCGGCCATATTTCGTTGAAAATTCGAGCAGGCCGGGCCGTCTGTCACTGGTTAGTGAGTTCAAGGAGCGGCGGCGGCACATTCAGAGGCCTGCACATGCAAACGTACGCACAAGGGATGAACAAACACAGCCATTATTTTCATTGGAAGTGAAAGAAACACTTCGATACGGTATGCAAGATGCTAACTGCACTGTCTTATGCCTACACTAGAGTAAACCCATTTTCAAGAAGAACCCTGATAATACAAACGTTCACTTTAGAAGAACTGGCATTCATGCACCCTTGGATAAATCAGTGTGTATTCACTGGGTATAACATGTGGATAAGAAGAACTCCCGTTATTGCCAACAAATACCATCAGTCCCTTGGTGTTTGTCCTAAACAGGCCTGACTGGACGTTGCATACCCGTCCGTAGCTCAATTCTTTGAGCCCAGAATTTAATTGTTACTTCGACGGGTACAATCTGTAACTAGCTGGTGTATGAGAACATGTTATACCTGCATCGTACTTCTTTCGCACTTACTTGTCGACCGGATGCCCGGCATCTGCAGTATTCTTGATCGTACTGCTGTTTACAGCGGAAGAGTCCACCAGCGCCATTATCTTCGCATGTACATAGTTTGCAATCTCTCGCATCCTCGTTCATTTCCTTAGCTTTGGTCTCGGTGAAAGCGGACGAGAAACTTCCGCGCAGCGTCGAGCCGGGGAACAGGCCGCGGAATGTGTTCAGATTCCACATCATTCCGGCAAGGTCGAATGTCAAGTCGGTGTAGTCGGTGGCAATGGTGCCCTCTACTCGCGTGTAGTCCACACCAGTCGCCGCTGTTATTAACTGCTCGCGGTACGCACTGTTCCTCTGACGTACGTACGCCAGCTTGTCCGAACCGGAACCGGGAGCCAGCGATCTGACGCCGAGAACTTCTTCGGGCTTGTCATTACCAGCCCGGATTCTGTGGTCAATGATGAAGTTCGGTGTTACGCCGTTGTCGACTAGTGCCCGTCGAAGCTGCAATCAACAACAGATAGTGTGACAGATGCTCTCAAACAAGATTGCATGATGTTTTTGACTGATGCTAACAGCACTATCTACGAGAAGAACACAGTACCGTATGGCCTTGCGAAGTAAAATAAAAATCAACAACAACAACAACAACAGTACACTCTCATCTCTCTCCTTCTTCATCCAGCAGATGTTTCTCTGTTGCTACAGACTAACTGGAAGGGGTTTCGTCAAAAAGACGTCCCCTTAGCACAGCATACTTACATCTTCCTTGCTAACTGTCTTAGCCCCACAGCCAGTTGCCCTGGAAGAGCCGCTCATGAAGATTAGGTTGTGGGCAACGTTGGGGCTGTGGCGTAGCTCGGCATTCTCCACTGCAAACAGCATTGCCTCATACCTGTGGAGGCACACACAGGACTCATATTCTCAGTGACATTGGAATGGCTTTGCGAAACGAATGAATGCGAAGAAGGAAACCCATCCTGGATGTAACTGCCAAGAAACTGTATCAGTGTAACAGCATCATAAGTTAAAATGATCTTAAGGAGGGTACGAACAGTTGCGCAGTGCAGTGTAAAAAGTACCTCTAAAATCTGTTGCCACGAAATTCGAAAATACCAAATACCTGCATGAATTCTGTTACTTCGGTATATTTAAAACGGCGATGCTGCTCTTACCCATCTGTTATCTGCGATGGTGAGTCCGCTGTAGCCTGCTCCAAGCCCTCCGCAGCCTCGTCGGCGGTGAACGTTGTGACGCCGGGCCCTGCAGACTGCGGCACGATGAAGTGACCGCACTCCTCACCTGTCTGCGCGCGACGACCGAAACCAACGACAGTGTATCTGTGCGTGTTTGTGTGCATGTATGTGTATACACAACATACATTCAGGTTAACTGCCAGTCTACCTTCATCACTCCTTGCAATGTGTGCTAGCCATTTTATAACAACTGGAAGGCCCAAACACCTGCCCACTCACCCCTGCTGTGCCAGTACTCTCTAAGCTGACTGTTCAATCAGCTCACCATCCAAGTGAATGCCTACTTCCACCATTTATTTCATTATATTTTAGTTTCACAAGTAACCACACACCACTTCACTTGACGGCACAGCACATCAAGGCAGCGACAGGCCATACGGAAAGGCTGGAATGGGGAGGACCCTAGTGTATGGCCATGCGTTACAATGCACCCGCTTGCTCTGGTGAATGTCCGACATGGATTGGGGGACTTTGTTTTACCTGTTTGGCAGTGCGGGGTCTGTTCCAGTGGCAGCGACAGGACATAATGGAATGGATGGAGTGGGGAGGACCCTAGTGTATGGCCATGCGTTACTATGCACCTGCTTGCTCTGGTGAATGTCCAACATGACATTGTATTGGGAGACTTTGTTTTACCTGTTTGGCAGTGCGGGGTCTGTTCCAGTGTTCTGCTTCAGTAGCTCCAACTCCATGGTGACTAGGAACTCAGCCAGGTCAGTGATGGCCCCAGCCATTGGCTGAGTCTGCTCGACGACCACCAGGATGTCCGCAGCATAGGATGGCGTGTTCGGAGCGACGTGGGCAGTTTCATTGGCACCGTATCTGTCATAGCATAGAGCTGGCAAAGAGCAAGAGAAGACGAGTTCACAACAGTGACGCTATGACTTTGGTGGTAATGACGAGAAGTTCGTCTTCGAAGATATTTCACACTACAATGCCAGTCTTCTCATTGTTGTGCACGCAAACAGCTCATTGAACCCCGTATCCAGCCTCAATTTGTGTGATATATCCATCAGCTAGGTTGGCCAGGTTCGCCACTTGATCGTGTTCAAAGTCTACAATGCCCAAAGACTGGGTACATGGCACTACAAATACTTATTATACATGCATGCACAGCAATTGCGTGCACTTACCACACGGCCTGCGCGTGCAGTCGCGGCTCTCGCTGATGACCGGGCAAGGCAGGCCAGCGCCGGCAGGGAACTGAGTGATGCGGCGTGTCCGGAGCTCTGTGCCAGTGCCGCACGTCACACTGCAGTCTGACCAGCGGCTATAGGCGCTCACAACACAATCTGCAGTACACATGCACATATTGCACACGTGTGCACACAACCACCCACATACACTCAACCACCCACATGCACACAACCACCACACATACAAACATGCAGTCACAGGAGAATGAGGCGCTTGTAGATCACGGTGTCTGTTTTTTTGCATGTGAAATGGAGGATGGTCTTCTTGCGCAGGGTTCAATGTAGACCTTTGTTGTTTCATGTGATACGATCAGCAGGATTGACGCTGCTGTCATCGTCAGCAATTAGGACACTGGTTATTGCTGTAATGTTTTGGTGAAGTCTTGCTATGAAGCCGTATGAACTTAAATTAGGTGCGTCAGACAAGCTACGGTCAGTACGGTATTGACCGCACCACTTCTGTGACCACACCTATCTCGTGAACCAATATAATGCATCGATGTGTGCTCTAAATTTCCGATTTTTCCAGCGGCGCCCCACCCAGCGCTTCAGGTGGGTTACTGTGCCACCCTATAATACCTTGTGATGGCCCTGTACCCTGTACAAGGTTAGTGTCCACTCCATCAGCAATCACGTCAACATGTCTAAAGTCTGGTGGCTACCATTCGGGGCATCAACATCCAATGTCGTGCGGCTGGTGGTCCAGGACAATTTTTCCCCATATACATTATATGAAGCCATGGCCATCGCCACATCACACTCACCTGGATCACAAGTGGGCTGAACGCCAGTGTAGCTTCCATCAATCTGACATGTTCTGACCGACGGACCGTTGAGTCGGTAGTTGGCATGGCACGAGAACGTGAGGTCGGTGAAAGCGCGCAGGCTGTCTCCAGTTCGCATGCCGTTATCGGGAGTGCCTGGATCATCACACAGAATTTCTGCAGAAAAAGAAGCAAACAGAAAGCCATGCTTCTTCTCCCGTGTTACGGCGAATGAGGTGAGCGGCTACGCTTCAGTACATGTACATACACAACGCTGTGATGAATTGGCAATGAAAATGATAGTTGTAACGCTTGTTATCTGTGCTGTGCAGTCCCATTACTAGTCGTGCGGATTTTACACCGTACACTAAGCCTAGATTTTGTCACCACCTCCAGTGTCTTAGTCCAAGCAGCAGGTGCATTCCGCGACAACTGGTCAAACACTTCTGGGCCTCACTAGTCATAAAGCACTGACTGCAAACTCCCCAACCTACCATGACAGCTTGGGAGCGCCTGATCCCACGTTCCGTCATCCTGGCACATTCGGCTACTGGGCCCAGTCATTTGGTATCCGAGATTGCAAGTGTAGGCGACGCTGTCGCCGGCAGTGAAGAATGCAAACGCAGGTGCCCGTCCGCCGTTCAGAGGAGCCTCGGGATCCGGACACCGGATAGCTGAGCACAGCAGGAAAAAATCAAGTCAATACACGTCACTTTCTCGGAAGATTCAATGGCAAACGACTGCAACGGCAGAACCCACTACCACGCTTTTGTTTTCAAATAGATGAAGTGCCTGTGGCGAATGTCATTTGTGGTACTTAGAAGTAACGTTACAGTCATGTCAACTACATGGTAGCAAAGGTTTCATTGACAGCTTGAGGCAATGTGAGATACAGTACAATTTCTTCACTGCAATATAATCATCATTAATGTTAGTACATGTTCCCACCAGGCCCCACTGACAACCCAACAACGCAGCACTCAGTCAACCCTGCAGCTAACCCTGCAGCTAACCCTGCAGTCAGCCCACCAACAAAGTGAAAGCAGACAATCACAACGCTATTTCAGATGTACCAAGAGCCCGTAAGCTGTGAGTATCCGGCATACTACGTGACTCTTTCAATCACCAATGTGCCGGCCCATGTGTTATAAAGGCCAGACAACTATTGAATTAGGAAGTTCAACAATGCTTTAAAAAATAGCTTTCCAGGAAGGGTGACAATAACTAGACCCATCCCTCTCCACAGAAAAGATTACAAACCAGAACAAACAACTGAGCAGATTCAATAACTTACGGACACAGCGCATAGGCCGCCCGGACCAGCTGGCCACTTGTGCGTTACCAGATACCTGACATGTCCGTTGCTCTGAGCCCTCTCTGCGAAAACCTGCCTCACATGTCACGCTGGCCACATCGCCAAACTCACGGCCGGTGGAACTCAAGCGACCGTTGGAAGGGTCCGACAAGTGGCAGCATCGGGTACCTGCAGGAAGTGAATGTCACAAAGTGTGGTGCAGTGCGGTTTTAATGCTAGACACTGCAGATTTGTGGAGATGATAGGTTGTGGCTCAAGATGAACAGGAGTCTCAGGCATGGAATCGCTAAGTTATGTAGAGAAGGGTGCCACACATCTGTAACTCAATGGAGCTATCCTTGAAATGAAGGTTCTGATTCTCTCGAACTACATGTACATGTACTACTAGTAAAACAGGGGCAGTTGGAGAAAGGAGAACTGCCCTCAAAATGTTAGGCTCATTGAAACAAACACTTCCTCTCTCTCTATGGTCAGAATTTACTATGGGCTGCGGTTGCTTTTGCCTTATTAGTAGTAATGTAAGAAAGGGTTTGCTCCTCACACCGGAGCTCGCGCTATTCCGCCGACTTTACTTGACACTTGACTGACTCACGACTGCCATCCAGAACACACGAGAAGTCCATCGAACCTTCGACTCGTGAGTCAGTCAAGTAAAGTCGGCGGAATAGCGCGAGCTCCGGTGTGGGGAGCAAACCCTTTCTTACAAATCATCGCCGAACGAAGTCGCAACCACTACTTAGTAGTAATGTGTCGCATCAAACTGGACATCCATGCACCCAATTTGACGGATCAATCAGAGCAAGCATGGATTGTACCAGGGCTGGTGCTGAGTACTCCACACAAGCTCTCAAGCCGAACAACGGCAGACAAATCCTGAGTGCGCGTGAAAACACAGCAAAGATACAAGCAATGCGTGTGTGCACATGTGCTGCTTACGTTCACACACTGGTGCCGGTGCTGTCCAGGCCCCGCCGTCCTGGCAGAGAATAGACCGGTCGCCCTGCAGCGTGAAGCCGTGGTTGCACGCAAACGAAATACGACTCGCGATGCTGTAGCTGACCGCGAACGTCGTGATTTCACCGTTCAGCGGAGCAGATACTCTTGGGCAGCTACGAGCTGCAGAAAGAAATAGCACAGTGAACAGCTATAGGATAATGCAGTTAGTACTCATACAGTACTACCAATATGAATTACAAGCTCACCAGCCTGCACATGCTCACCTATTACCTCAATCAATGCACTTCACTACACACCAACTGATGACCATAACCATCAATCCTGGTCAGTTTACAAGGAACAGCAGCTTACCGTTGCAAACAGGCTGAGAGCCCGTCCACTCCCCATTCTCAGCACACTGGCGCACCGCAGAGCCAATGAGCGCGTAGCCTTCGTCACAGGAAAACCTGGCGTTGGACTCGTACTCAAAGTTAGCTCCACTGGCAGTCACTGAGCCGTGCTCGGGTGTACCCGGATTGGAGCAAGATATCGCTGTACATAATAACAGTATGGAACACAAGTCTTGTACATGTATACAAAGCAAAAATCCATGTAACTAATGCATAGGCTAGATCTCTGGATGTTCTCGGTCATGTGAGAAGCAAGGAGACAGCGTTGACCTCCTCACTTCACTACAGAAAGGACGCAGCCATGTGAGCTCATAGTGAAGCTGAACATCCCAATGCGACAGCTGTACATCTACATAGACGACATGCTGCCAGCATGCACGGAAATCTCAATGACTCCGGAAGAAGAAATCAAAGCGCTTGGCAACCAAATATGTGCACAATGTCCGTTTACATTCTACGTATCCAAGTGACTGAAAACCAAGTACAGTATGTGCTGTATCTCAACCTAGAGACATTGTGTTCACATGTAAACGACTCAAAGCTTTATACAAATGTATTAATAGTGCACACGCAGTAGCTTACGCATGCAGCTCGGCAGGGGGTCGGACCATTGTCCGTTTGCACGGCACAGCAGCGTCGACTCTCCAGTCAGCTGGTATCCACCGTGGCAGGTGAATGATGCCGTTGAGCCGTAATGCGTAGTGGAGAGGTCCTTTGCACCATTAGCAGGTGTGCCTGGGTCTCTACAGTCGGCAGCTGTATTCGGCAGAAACGGTAAGCCAAGACAGAAAAGGCCGTATGACCGACATTGCAGAGTATTTTTTTGTCAAAACATACCACTCTTCTTTTTGCTGCCTGCATTTGTGATGTGAACCACAACATTACAAGTGGCTTGGTCCTAAGGGCCTTGCTGGAAAGATTACTACTGAAAGTGATGAGTCAACAGTCTACAAGTTGCAGCAGGCTGATCAGCCAGAGCTACATCTACTCAAGGGATATTCTTACCCCTAACCTCTCAGCAAGGAACACCAATGACTTAGATACACTGCTCTCTTATCCACCTAATCAGCATGTGCTCATATACTGGGTGACCAAGTAAGACTTACGAACGCACGAGGGCCGTGCTGCACTCCAGCTGCTGTCAGCTCTGCACTGAAGCACCCGTGTGCCCAACAAGGTGTAGCCTTCATTACAGCTGTATGTCAGTGTGCCCTGGTAGAACAGAGCCAGTGAGCTCTCGAAACGCTGGCCATTTGCAGGCCGGCCAGGGTCGGGGCATCGTACGGCTACATAGCAAGAATTCAAGAAAAAACACAAGAATAGATCACAGTAAAAAATCAATAATGGTTGCGGCCACCATGCAACATCCATCTGGTGCTCAATTTTCCAATACATACAGTGTATGCACCCAAATATCCCTGAAGTAGGTGACAGGCAGGTAGGTACTAGTAAGTAGGCAGGCAGGCAGGTATTTATTTGTTTTAGTATGCACGACCAACCAGACGGTGTTGCCCAACACATTGAAGCGATTGGAAGCAATGTACTTGTACTATGTTGCAGTGATGTCATGACGGGATTGCATGAACAACAACGCTTGATACATTCCAGGTTTGAAACTTGGGAGGCAGGGTTTACGATGCCCAAATAGCACTGGACAGTGATCTGGCAATAGCGGTGACTTACGCTGGCATCGCGGCAGAGTTGTGAATCGTCCACCTTCTTGGCACAGTGCGGAGCTGCCACTGACAAAGTCATGGCCAGTGTTGCAGACCCACTGGGCGGTCTCGCCGACAGCGTACGAAATCTGCGCTGGTGCTAGCTGTCCGTTGGCAATATTGGGTGGCGTACGGCACTCTGTACAGGAAAAGAGCAATCATAGGAGTATCAGGTCAGTGATCTTCTGAGGCGAACTCCCAAGGGATCAACACTACATCACTGCTTAAGTTGAGTGCGGGAAAGTGCGGGGCAGTGCGGGAGCAAGACGTTGTAGAGTGCTTGAGTATCGAGAAACGGGAAGGGTGCATGCAGTAATTTGTGTCTGAGTGTCTGAGTGCGCACATATAATTATGGGAGAGAGGTCATTAGTGTGTGAGTGCGTGCATATATGGAATCGTGAACCTAACACTACGGTAGTATGACACGAGTACACACACACACACACACGCCATCATGTCCTGAGCTGAGCCGGATCCTGGTCGTGTTTGGACTGCTGGTATATACATGTAGAACCATGGAGATTATTTTTCAAATTCATTCAGATTGTAGGCAACATCACTCATCTTACAAAAAAAGCTGAGTAAAACTAAGTTTTATGAACTGGCTCGCTATCCCTATGTACATGCGGTACATGTGAAGCATACTAAAACTTAGAATGAGCAGGAGTGCCTCCGGTCAAAGCAATGGTTACACGGTTCATGCCTCCAGCTTCATCCACACATAGGCTATAATAGGGGAGAGGGGGGGGGGGGGGGGCTTTTACCCCATGGTCTCCTGTGTAGCAGATTACCTTGGAAAGGATGAGTTGATGAAAAGAAACACCAGCTTCCAGCAAGAAGAAGAGAGTACTTACCACATGGAGTGTTGGGACACGACCTGGTGGCGTTCAGCGTGGGGCACGGGTTGCCATAGGGACCGGCGGCTGAGAGTACCGTACGGTGGCGGATCTGCATGCCTCGGCCGCACGTTTGACTGCATGGCTGCCAGGGCTCCCAGTCGGACACATGACAGTCTACAAGGACATACACAGAGAGAAAGAGAGGATTGAGCCAACACTGCCCAAAGAACATGGCATGTACGCTATGGTGACTCTATTGTTCCAATCCTCTGTCAGAAGCAGTACACTCCAGCACATGCTTAGGGGCCATCCATACTGCCTGCATTCATACAGTAAAAGGAAGTCGTCCTCAGAGACAATTGAATCTCCTCACAGGTAGAGATAAATTTATTCGTCGACTGGTGGCCACCGAATTGGTGTTCTTTTGACACAGGGTATACAGTGAATACATGGACATACATCCAGCACAGAGACTTTAGATTCCATTGACTTGTTACCCATTCTCGCTACACATTCAGCTAGCGCTCTATCCCTGCACACAAGCACATAACAGCTACCAAACCTACTGAAATGACAGTCAACGTGGTCAACGCAGCGCCATTCACGGCCGTTGCAAAAGTAGAGCTTGTCGGACACGAAGTCATACTGGACCTTTCCATTGTTGATGCCAGTACAAGGAGATGCTTCTTGAAGAGAGACCTGTTGAGCAACACCATGCAATTCAATCACATCAAGTTACTATGCGCCTCAGTCATTTCCCGTATGTCACATAAATATCGCCTTGGAGTCAACCAATGACAGATCAAAATACGTGGCTGGAAAGCGCGATTCTGCTTGGAGACGATCAATGCAGGACTGCTACAGAGGCCATGCAAATGAGTTCATGGCAGGTTTTCTAATGGGCGCCAAGTATACAGTGCGATTATTATAAAGCAAATTTTCTAATGGGCGCTAATTCAATCGTATCAAGTTACTATGAGCTTCGTCATTGAACACCCTACTTGGAGACGAGTTCTTTTCTAATGGCTATAACAGGCAGCATGCACAGTACTGTGCCTCGCGTGACTACTGGAGAATAACTGCATGTATACTGTGCCATGCATATACCGGCTGAAAGAACTAATGCAGTGCTCCTTCGAGTGTAGGCACGTTGCCTGCAAACTATTCAAGTGAAAGAACCAATAATATTACATAATTTCCGGGCCCTGATAAGAAGATGACAACCTACAGCAGTGTACACTGCATGGTTCGAAATTGGACTGCGTTTGCAAAGATCCTCACCTCTTTCACGTCCGGTCCGTACTCTCCGGCTGTGCCCTGCACATCCATTACATAACAACACAACACACAAAAAACGTCAACCTTTTTAGAGCAATCAATCTGATCACAACACATTAACAACGTCAACCATTAGCAATCAACCTGATCTATACATGCACTCCAGGTTGGCAAGCTGTGCATGTACTTCACGCGCTTGCATACACGCCCAGCAAGCTATCCGGCAACACAAGAGTAAACAGCAAGCAAAATAGAGGACGGGAGGATGTGCTCACAAGGAGCATGCACACTACATACCTGAGCTCCAGAAACGCCTTGCGTTCCAGCAACGCCATTGAATCCACGTGGACCCTGTATGCACCAGCAGCACAGATAAACAAGATTTCAAGTTTAATAGTACAAGTATATGCAGCATAATGAGCACATTTGCATGGTTGAAGTTTCACATAGCATTTCTGTTCATCACTACAGGTACTAGCATTGTTGCATAGAGATAGGGAAATAAGCTCAGGTTTTGATACAGCATTCTTGCATAGAGATAGGGAAATAAGCTATACAGGTTTTGATACAGCATTCTTGCATAGAGATAGGGAAATAAGCTATACAGGTTTTGATACAGCATTGTTGCACAGAGATAGGGAAATAAGCTATACAGGTTTTGATACAGCATTCTTGCATAGAGATAGGGAAATAAGCTATACAGGTTTTGATACAGTAAAACACTGAAGACCAGCAAGCAACGGAAATCATGGATCGCTCACCGTGCCACCCTTTGATCCGGCGAAGCCACGCTCTCCTTTCTGGCCCTGGATTCAGAATGTCAAATACACAGATAGCATATAAACAAGTAATAAATAAATTCACGGCTCGCGTGGGACTCGGTTTTCCGTGTCCGCAGGAACGCCACCAGCCCCAAGGATCAAGGCGCATGTGCAGATGCTTAATTAAAGCGGTAGGTGAGTAGATCAGACCCACCAAAGTGGTCAAAGACTGAGAAATCCCATAGCCGTAGGCTATATATGTACTCTTGCCACTATGATCAGTGGCATGATTTAAGAGGTACCTAGCTGGCATGTGCATCAGCCATCAGTCTCCCCCCCCCCCCCCCCCCCATGACACAAGATACCCGTGCCGAGCTGGACGCGGCTCAAACAAAAAGCTTACCATCGGTCACTTACAATGCAGGACACTAGCATGAACACAATATACATGATTAGACTTAGTCATTGCAAGTATCAATGTATCCCGTGCAGACAGCAGTATGAATCATAATTATTGGAGTACCACTCTTGTCGACTCACCAATCCTATCCAATATGCATGGTATGTGTGCATGGTATGTATGACTGAACAATGTCATGTTTACTCACCTGGCCTCCTACTTCGCCATCAAGGCCTTGAATGCCAGGCACTCCCTACAACAGCAAATATACAAGATGATTGCACACAGACACACAGACACACCTCAGACCTCAGACATGCCCATCGCGGAAGCGATGATAGCAAACACAGCTATGTTAGACATAGCAACTTGTGCTGGGATTACACCATTCAACAGCTTGCAAGGTTGATACACACACACGCACGCACGCACGCGCGCGCGCACATAACACACATCCATACGCGTTAAGGATGGGCGTGAGGTGAGTGGTAACACATGACAGTGGTTACTTACTCGGTCTCCAGATACTCCTACTCTGCCAGTATCTCCGACAATTCCCTGAGACAGAGCAGATAAGAGAGCATGTAAATCAACTTAATGAACTCACAATAATTCCCACACTAGATATGGGTCAAGGATTATCACATGCACTTCTGCAAATAAACCCGACCATTGATATTAGTGACATTGCGATGGAAGGGCTTTGAATCTGAGCAGCCGATGCTGTCACAGGACTAGTCGAAGCAGCTTTTGTTTGGCACGGCCACATTGTAGCCTTTCAAACGTTTCGTGTATGTGTGTGTGTGTGTGTGTGTGTGTGTGTGTTTGTGTGTGTGTGTTCGTGTGTGTGTGTGTGTGTGTGTACATGCATATGTGCGTGCGTGTGTATGTGTGTGACATGATGTGTACACGTGATGTTCTCATCAGTGAATGCACAGTCGTCGCCAAACCGTTTGTCCAGGCATCACAGCCGGACCAGTTGGAAAGGTCCCACCGCCGGCGAGCGTGTCTCATATTCTACCGTCATGGCATCATCTATGATCTGCAAGGAATCATACTGTAAAAGCAGAAGTTTTCGGTGGTGTAATATTTTCGGTATTCTCCAAAATCGACGGTTAGGCGGAGGGAAATTTTTCGTAAACCCGTTTTCCAGGTAAGTGTACTAGTACTAGTACCGAAAATTTCGGTGCATTTAATGTTTGGTAAAAATATCGGCACCGAAGTTACAGAAAATAAAGCACCACCGAAATTTCTGCTTTTACAGGACCAGGATTATTCAAACACACTATATTTACCTGTGTTCCCTTGTCACCTTCTGGTCCTTCTCTGCCATCGGGGCCCTGGAAACCAAGTCAAAAGAGAGGAAAAGGCAGCAACATGCGCATGTAGTAATGACAACAGCAAATATTTGCAGAACTCACTTTTGGCCTGTACTACCGCAAGCCAAAATTTATGATTGAACAAAGTCACATACTACTGCTCTTTGCCAGTTTCTATTCTATCGTTAAAAGTTCACTGCGCATTAGTTAATTCCGGATATGTGCCTGGCTGCTTTGAGCAAGCCAGGGAATATACTCCAGTGCCAGAACATTTCGGCAGAACCTGGCATTGCAGGTTTGTGCCGCAGATATGAAACAATGAACGAGATTGAATGCATGGGGATAAGACCAGGCAGTCAGAATAGAAAAAAAGATCACTCTATTTCTCTCCTGTACTTTCAAAATCTCTCACCGGTATTCCTGGCACACCTCTTGCACCATGGTCGCCTTGGTCGCCCTGGATGTAATATGCACAGAACATGAATTCTGACATCAGCGATAGCAGTATAGATAAAGGAGTTCAGTTGGCCTTTTAAGCAAAATTTTCTGCAATTTAACAGGCATTAGCAAGCTGATGACTCCGTTCACATCTAATTTTCTACCTGCTCTTCCTCACTCTCTTAGAGCCTGTGTCTATCAGTTCCATGCTGCAATTGTCAGTGTGAGTGAGTATTCCATTGCCTTGGAGACCTGGACCGGCTTGCACCCTATTGCCAATGAAGGCAGTCAGCATGACTACTGGTACGCCATTCAGCGGCGGATCCAGCCATCTCTACAGGGGGGGGGGGGGGGGGGTTCCAGTATAGTCAATACTGAATACCGTAGCTGATACAATCGTGTACATGGACACGCATATACTAGTTGTTGCTGGTAGTACATTTACGAAATTTAGGGGGTTCCACGGAACCCCTCCTGGATCCGCTCCTGCCATTACTATCAGTGCCCTGTGCAATGGGCGTTTCAGGTTCCAGGCTAGTGGCAGTTGCAAACGGACTGTACACGAATCAGCGTGATTTCCAACGGGACAATAATGTTGTGTGGTGTGCTACTCCAACTCACAGCATCACCGGTTCTCCCGTCAGGACCTTGCCGTCCAGTTTGACCTGTGGGACCGCGATCGCCCTGCATTGAACACACAAGGGTAGACCAGGAATACACGGAGGCATGGCAGTCAGTGACCTATTGCAACGGTGCTGTATGGACAGTGCTGCATGCATATCCCACAAAGCACAGGATTGTTAGTCCAAAAACAGTACATTACTTCCAAGTAAATATGATCACTTGAACTACTCCCGACGCACAGAGCAAAGTTGCCACAGTATGATATGGTCATCTTACCCTCAGACCTTGTGGACCTGGCCATCCAAGCTGACCTTGCAAGCCTTTCAGACCCTGAAAACAGAACAGCACATCAACAGTGTAAGGTACAACGCAAAACACTTCAAATGTTCTTTAATGAATCAGTCTCCAGAACACTGCAGTGTGCAAACTTCTAGGTACCTAAACCCTTTCGCTCTCGACCCCTATGAATAGTACTGTAAAGAACAGCTTGAAATCTCATTTCTAATGATGGAATGCCAAGTATAGAGTGCATGCCGGCGTGGTCAAGAGAGTCAGAGAACAGTCGGCAGAATCCAAGTATGTACACTGCCAACCTAATTTTGCTGTAACTACTTCAAAGTAGTCCCCCCGTTGTTGTCACATGAAAGACATGTGCACCAGTAGTAGATATGCCGTTTTAATGTTGCGAAAGCTGGATTACTTAGTGACTATATCAAAAATAACAATGATAAAGGATGACCGGTATAAGCTTCAGGCTCCACGGCGATGTCCAAGATGTATGAGCAGCCTGTGGGGTTCGGAAAGTGATGATGACTAATGTGACACGATGCCACAAGGGCTCGGTTCATAACTCCCACTTGGAACAGTATGAGGTCTAAAATTTAATATAGCTCTGGAAGCAAGCTTTCCCAATGCGATAAGCATCATCCATCATAAATATCCTTTCAAAATGCTCATACCAGTTCACCGACTTCTCCCTTGTCTCCAATAGCACCTGATGTACCCGGCCGGCCCTGAGGAGTGAATCAAGAAGAAAGATCACTGTCAAGCCAAAGTCCCTACAATTTTAACGAGCTCACACGCGTATTGCACATTTAAAACACCACCAGGAGGGATTACATTGGTAACTTAATGGGAGAAAACTTTAGTATTTTGAGCTACACGACAAGCACAATGACAATGACCAGCAATGTGGTGACACAGTCAGACCTCAAGTCGAAAGATGAGTATATTTCACCTGATTGGCATCCGTAAGAACCATGCACACAAGTACAGTATCGGTGAGCTGGAGTATACTGGTTGTGTAGCCATATTTCACAGACACACTAATCAGTAGAGATTACAATGTGCAGCCTGGACAAGAATCTTGATCCCCAAGCCACGTGGGGTTTTCAAACCTGGTTGGATATTAATCCAGCCGAGTTTAGGTACCCAGGCCACGGTAAATTAAAACCAGCAGCATACTAATGATACCGGGGTGGTAACATTATTTCAGCCCAGCTTGAATACTGCATACAACAAGTAGCTACTTTAGGATAACTACTAGCCCGACGGTCACTTACGATAGAGCCTGGAAGACCTGGTGAGCCAGGTAGACCTTGGGGACCCTACACACCACAAACACGCAGCACACAAAACAGCAACTCAAACAAGAATACAATATTCATTATTGTACTGGCCTTTACTGCAACTTAGTGGCAGAGCAATCAACCGTTAATCAAGAGGCCCTGGGTTCAATTCTCAGCTGCAACCTGACTTCTTCAGCTGAATGGTCAGCCAAGTGTTTCAATTCGGACAAGATCTTACTGTGCAACTCCACGCCAATCTTTCAGAAATATAATCATTCAACATATGAATATATTGACCAGGATAGCTACACTCAGTGTCGCCGGCTAGGACGTGGTTAAAGCATTGCTGTTCAACATTGTCATAGAGGGTGTTTTTTGAAATAGATATGCTGTACAAGCAAGCGTTTGTGTTTGTGACACAATACCGGTATGATGCAACAGTAGCCTTACTGGAGGTCCACGTTGGCCTTTGTCACCCATGGCTTCAGGTCCAAACTCACTAGCAGTGGTGACCTTGCCACCAGCAGCTTGCTTGGATTGGGACGAGCTCTGCAAAACAAACCCGAGTCATACAACAATTCGGCTTAATGCTCTACTAAGGATTAAAGAGTGCTGTTGTTGTTGTTGTTGTCGTTGTCGTCGTCGTCGTCGTCGTCGTCGTCGTCGTCGTCGTCGTCGTCGTCGTCGTCGTCGTCGTCGTCGTCGTCGTTGTTGTTCTCCGATGTAATGATTTACGCACGCCCTCTGTATAATAGTACCCATGCAGGCTAGCTGAGAGAGACATCAACTGGTCAACTGGTCATCATGTGTACCATAGTACATACAACAGAAGGGTTAGTAGGAAACGTTCTCACTGCCTTACCACTTGCACACCACTCGGGAGAATGTAGCCATCAGTATAGATCAGGTAGTTACCATGCTTGCCAGGACTGCCGGGCAAGCCTCTGGGGCCCTGTATCACCAACAACCACACACAACAAGCATAACTTTGTGAGAAATATCTACTACAAAGTCGCTACCATGCACTATGGCAAAACTGTGCGTCATAATCGAAGTACATGTAGGTGTTCTCGTGTGTTGATAGATCGGTCGGTGTGAATCATATCGGCAATGTTGACGCCGATATCACCGGTGGCACCCACGCGGGAAATATACAGTCGCAAAGGATGCACTGATCGCAGACTCCATATGCCAGTGTATGCCTGTGTATACTTTGTATTTTCTATTGTATAGTATTTTATTATTTCACTTGGGCATTCTCAACAGACCCTAAGGTCTTCTTACAGGGTGCTTTGTATGCCATTGCACAGTCATACCAAGAAGGAAAGTAATTATGATGATGATGATGATGAGCATTAAAGCTCACTGGTCATGAACCCATTCATGCGACATACTTCTAGAAAATTACATAATTTAAAGCACAATTAGCGCATCCATGCATCAGATCGAGGTAGCGTCTATGGAAACATTATCTTGCGCTCTGGGATGCTATGTGCAATACTTACCCTGGCGCCAAACCATCCTGGCCCACCCTTGTGACCCTGTACAGCATAACACAGCCATGCCGCAAACAAACACACACACACACACACACACACACACACACACACACACACACACACACACACACACACACATACACACACACAGAACTCAGTGGTTTGCATCTTATTAAAATTGATCAATTTCAAATGCTAAAAAATAGAACTGTTTTTGAAACATATCCGCGACACCATGCGCGTGTGACAGAACACAGAGTGAGCATAGCGTACTGGGCCCACCAGGAGCGTGTGACAGAACACAGAGTGAGCATAGCGAACTGGGCCCACCATGAGCGTGTGACAGAACACAGAGTGAGCATAGCGTACTGGGCCCACCATGAGCGTGTGACAGAACACAGAGTGAGCATAGCGTACTGGGCCCGAGAGTATAACCATCAAAACCTCTGGCTGGCTAGTTCCATAAGCCTGATGTGCATCGTGTCAATGAGCATTTCCATTGCTTTCTTGCATTGAGACTTCAACTGGTAGAAATCCGTGGTCTTGGCTTCTGACAGAATTACGACTGGAATACGTTTGCATAGATGCTCATGAGACGCGAGTCCAGCTCTAGAAGCCAGTGATTCCTCTGTACTGTCACCATGGCATAATGTTGATGACTCAGTACAGGTACAGTCAACTTCGCTAATAACGACTGCGGATATAACGACAATTCGCGAATAACGACAGAATTTCCATGCCCAGAGCAAAGTCCCATCCAACTGTAATACATAGAATGAGACTTCGGGTATAACGACACTTCGCGAATAAGGACACTTTTCTGATGCCCCGCCGAGTGTCGTTATAAGCGAAGTTGACTGTAGATGACATAACACATAGCATGGAATGAACTTGCAGTCCGACACACCGCCAAGGACCATGGAAACGTGTACTGTATTTCCACGGCACTCTACTCCAGCGGTTTCCTAACTGATAGTGTAACACAAGGTGGTGCAAAGGAGTACTTTACATCCCATAGGCAGGGTACGGTATGATGAAGTTATCTTCAGCATACTGAACGCATGTGCTTACTTTCTCTCCTCTGCATCCATCTGGACAGTCCCCATCGGCTGGTGGACCCCGCGATGGGAGAGGTGCTGGAGGCTGGCGTGTGCCGGGTGCCTCGGTTTCTTGAGGTGGAGCAACGGTACCAACTAGTTACACAAAAGGACAAACAAGCAGACCAAGGGCAGGCGTGCTCATTAATGGAGTCCACAGAACCTCCCTGTTGGTCGTTGCCATCAAACAACGATTATCATACATGCATGCTTGCTGTGCTCAACCAATTGTTTCATTATACACGTCAAACGACTCAAGACACAGACACAGACACACTCCACACCACACCACACACAATATGTACATAAACACACACACACACGCACGAGCGCGCGCGCGCACACACACACACACACACATAAAAACACACACACGCACAGACACACACACACACACACACACACACACACACACACACACACACATAAAAAACACACACACAGATGTTGAGCTTACCGGTACACATTACTTCCACCTCTCCGGCATCACCCGCCGCGACGTAGTAGCGAGCGCTGCAACCTCCGCAATAGTCTGGCTCGCACCGAGCTAATGGAAAGGCGTCGCATGGTCTAATGCAAGGGTTAACGAGGCAATTGACTTGTGGCCGACCATCAGGACATACTGTTAGCGAGAAAAGGCAGATACATGTACCGAGTTACCATAGAAATGTAACTATTCAAACAGGGAGAAGACAAAGCCTGTGTGCACCAACAACACATCCCGACGTTACTGTTGCGTAGCTCTCTAGTGTAGCGCGGGGGAAAGAAGGAACGATTACTGCCCCTGGGTTGCCTCATAGAAATACCATGAATTTGTACTGACGTTTGCACTCAAACGTAGAACAAATGTCAGGCTCCTCGTAAGCAGCATTTTGAAAACCTTTCCGCGAGTACTCTCCATACCTTCTCATCAGGTGGAATACAGGCAAAAAGAGAAACTGAGCAAGCACAATGAATTTTATTGAGCAGAGATGTGATAGAAACAGCACGAATGAGAGTAGCCAGAAACAATATGGTCAACTGCGTAATGCCACAAGCACAGAAGGAATGACAAAAAAGTGCAAGTGTGCATTTTGATTACATTGTTTCTGAATGCTGCTTTTGCGCCGCTCCTATCACATCTCTGTTGTCTTAACTTATTGCTCTTGTCTAGTTTTGCTTCGCCTGTTTTCCACCCAATGAGAAGGCATCAAAAGTACTTGTGGAAACTGATTAATGACTGTTGCTTGTGAGGAGCCAGAAGCTTGTTCTTTTCTGGAGAGTAATTGCATTTCTGCCTCCCAGAAAACTCTACGTACAGAAGTTGTGACGATCTTTCCTCTCTTTCTCTTCCCGAGTGAATGTCAATTGTCAGAAGAAGATTATGGCAAAGTTGTTGTCTTTGGACTTTGACTTTTCCTATCAGTGGCGACGTCTGTATGTAACTAACGTTACCGTGTTTGTGCACACTCCCAGCACAAGTACAGTGCGAGCAATGGACAGTGAAATATGGAATCGTCCTCCGGTACAGCTACAATGACTCCTCGTGCCGATACGGCACAGGTGTACGCTGGTTAGCAGTGTGTCGGGCACTGTACAGGGGAATGAGTTCGTATTCCACTGGCCAGAGCTGTGCAGGACATGACTCTAGTCTACATAATATGATGTAGAATGGTCTAAAGAATTTAGGATAAATGATCCCATTTATAAACATTAGCACGAGTTTCGGTACAAAACAGAGGTGACACGCCCGCGTGACGTATGCGTGACATCAGTGGTACATGCGAGTAAAAACTTTAAAATGTGGCCTGAACTATTTTTAAAGTTGATACGTGTGCCAGTAACCCAACATACTGCACAAGTGTACTTACAAGTAAAGCAAAGTTTCAATAGCCTGCATCGTGACTCAATCACTGTCTAAGATTATCACAGAATAATTCCTGTGTGTGTTTAGACATTGTACTATGTACTATGTGCATGCATGCGCATGCAGTGCAGGTGGAATTGCGGTATTGTGTATTGTGGACATGCCTTGGCAATTTCCATGCGAGGCATTTACGCTTATCTACCACCATGTGGCTTTGCTTGTGAAATATTTCTGCAGCACTATAAACGTATCAATGCAATTCGTTGTCTCGTACCAAACGGCTTGCTCACACTACCCGCCAAAAGTGCTATTCTGTTTCATTAGATGTGTAATTCTGTTTTTTTTTTCGGATGTGCCTGGCATGGGTGTGCATGCATATCATGTGCGTATTATTATGATAATATCATCATAATAAATTATGCCTGTGTGTGCAGGTGTGTGCCCATGCATGTGAATGTGCGTAGGCGTATCTGCATGTACAATGTATGTATGCTCTGATGTCGGGGATAAAATGTTCGTTGGTGTGGCCACAGGATCACAATGTACTCACAAAACAAACTGAATGTGCATACTCTGATCCTCCACACATACTGTGAAGTGTATTCTATGAAGGACCAAATATGGATTGGCGATGCAATGAAGATGAGCATAATGCCAAATGTCGATGGAAATATTACCCCTATTTCTTCAATGTTGATGTCTTGCACACAGACAACCAATCAAAGTTGCTTTAGCGGAGAGGTGTTTTCATGGTTTTGTATAGTGTGCATCATAATAAGCTGTGTGTGTGTGTGTGTGTGACTTACATGCTCCGCCAAAGTCTTGAGCAACGCTGCCACACACCAACAGAGCAGCGCCGAGCAGGCATCTCAGGCTAACTGACGCCTCCATTATCGACCAGTGTGCGAACTCTGCAAACAGCGATCCCACTCTTCTTGTCCAGGTAGTACTCTTTCAGCCTGCCTCACTGGGGTGAGTCCGCTGCCCAGGACAGGGCCGACAGTACACTATTGCAGTATTGGGCGATCGCTGTTTACTTTCTGCTTGCTTGGACAAGAACAGGGCTCTCCTGCCAATCCTGGGTGGTGGAAATTCTACGAGGTGGTCGCCCGCTTCAAGTCTACGTCGCCCACCGCTAAGCGTATCGTCGGACGGACGGTAGGCCCAGTCTGTAATTATTTTGGTGACGATTCGCTAGCTCAGGGCAGTCAGTACTGTGTCGATGGCTCGACAAGGGAATAGTCGAACGAAGCGACAGGTTCATTGCGCTCCTTCGCAAGTCCCTGCTGTGATCCTGCGCTGCTCATTCGGCTAGCAACGCGTGGCCTGTTCCGACCAAACGTTGGTGGGGAAATACGGCCAGTGCGACTTCCCCGTCCACTCCGGAACACGCAGTCGAGCCAGATCTCGTGTTGAAGCCTGTCCGCCACAGTTCATTGAACCGCAAGCTGACGTCTCACCTGTCCAATGCTGATTGCCAGGCACGCTGCGCGTAAAAAGCAAGCCGTATTTTCCAAACAATTTACATACCGTCGAATGGGAAATGCTGCCAAATTCTCAAAGGAAGCCTTTATTTCTTGTGGAATTTCGGCTCCTTCCACCGTTTTTCCAGACCAACCGAGCGTAGAGTTGAGCCAATGGCTGCATTTTCCCACAGAGCCTCCTCAGGCGTGGAAGAAGCTTGTCTTCGTCGGCCGTCCGCAACGTACCTAAGGGCAAGCTGGATCAAACGTAGACACCGCCAGACCAAGCCGACCTCAACTGAGGATGGCCGACAAGTAGCTGTCACCTTTCCTGACACTCTTCTCGCATCTATCTTCACTGAAATCGCCTGAGAAGTGCCTGGGGACAACGCGAATCAAGGTCTAGGACAGCACTCATCGAAGAGTAGGTAACGAACGATGCGACAGTTTGACTCGACGAATACATAATATTCGTGTGGGTGCTGTAGCTGCGCTACAAAAGGTGAGTGCTTGCACTGTCAAGATAAGACTAGAAGTCTGCAAGTCGCGGACAGAGTTTTTCGTTTATTTCAGCTTCGTAGATCTACTCGTAGCTGAGATACTCTCAGAAGTCAGATAGACTCGGCTTCGCTGCCGTAGAGCCATGCGCATATGCGTAGATCTAGTCTGAATCCCTGAGCCAGTCTGAGAACTGTCCGTATGGTCCGTGTATAGTAACAGTTCGTACATTGGGCGCTTTCGATTACACGCGCATTTCGGTCAATTCTAGAATTAGTTATTGTTGATGCACAGTTCGATTACACAAAAGTGACAAATTCCGTCGTTAGAATTGATTTTATCCAATTCCGTCGAATCCGTCAATTCTGAAGAGAGGGCGGAATTTCTCTAATTCTGGCGCCAGAATTGCACAGTCGGTGTGTTACCGGTCTGGTCATGACTCAAGCGCGCGAAGAGCCTCCCTGGCCGGCGTGTGCGCGATGCCGATGCTGGGTACGGTCCACGTGCGCGCAACGGTGTACTGTGTAGTGATCTCTTTTTACGATTCATCAATTTTGTTTGTGACATGACATGAACAAAATTGCGTTGTGAATTCCAGTCGTTCGTTTACAAGGCCGGAATCCGCTCATTCTGGTCATTCCAGAATTTAAAAAAAACAGTTCCAGAATTGTGTAAACGTGTATCGAAAGCGCCCAATGACTTGTAGTTGGAGGTCTAGACTAGAGCCGTAGAGGGAGACGTAAAGCCTGGTTGTCACGACTTCCTAGTCAAGACAATCTTCATCATCGGATCATAATTATTTTATCACTCTCTTTTTAGTATCACTCTAGAGTCTAGGCTAGCTCTCCTACATGTAGTACAATATTGATCATTTTTCTATTATAACCACAATCAGTAATACAAGCTGGATCGACATTTATGCACACTTTTTTCATGTAATGTTAGTGTTGTGCGTAGGTTTCGTGGTAGCAAGTCTTCAGTGTACAATCATCTGTTGGCTAGTCCTGATTGTTGCAATTCGTATTCCGACTCTTCTTTCACTGTATTGTGCCGTGGTCGTCATGGTTATGGACTACAGTTAAAAGTTTTGGAAGCCATCTGTCAGCGTGTTTATTATTTGTGTGTACAGAAGGATAGTATAATTGGGTTGAAATTGTTCAAGTAAAGTGTCATGTTTGGTGCGGCCAAGCTTGGCCGTTAATGTTCTACGTGTAATGTACTGCTGTTATTTGTTATCACTTTGTCCCTTTCTCTTCTTTGTTCATTTTTCAGTTGCAAGTTTAGTGTTAGTACACGCATTCGTTATTGCTCTCGCTTTCATTGATAAAATTCACACTTGTAAATTTCACTGCTGTTGTTCTTAGTGTTATTTCTCTATTAAACTTAGATTTCTATAATATTTGAAACTCGGGTATTGAGCCAATAATAAAAGTAGAAAGGAAAAGGACATAATTATGGAAACGAGTTAAGAGTAACTCTCCACCACTGTAACTAGATACTATATACAGTCAGAAAGTGCAACAACTAGGCACAAAACTGACAGAGTACTGAGACATTCGACGTCCTGACACCTAGCTTCGTGTCAGGACGTCGAATGTCTCAGTACTCTGTCAGTTTTGTGCCTAGTTGTTGCACTTTCTGACTGTATATAGTATCTAGTTACAGTGGTGGAGAGTTACTCTTAACTCGTTTCCATAATTATGTCCTTTTCCATTCTATTTCTATAATAGTTCAATTTTGTTTTCATTGTCCTTTGGTACAACGAAGATTCCTGATGAGTGTTGTACGAAAACTTGTTTGAATCCTTATTTTCTCAACACCATTTCTTCACATTTTATCGTTTTATTGCACATTGTCTCCACAGTTTTACATTACTTCGAAGTACATGAATAAAGTGTACATAAATGTTGATCCAGATTGTATTACTGATTGCGGTTATCAAATTGTTGTCTCCTCGCCGTTTGTTCAAATATTTTTTCTATTTAAACAATCGACGAGGAGACAATAGTTGTAAAATGGCAATAGATAAGATAAATTGTGCACTCATAACAACAGCAAAAATGAAGAAAGTCAAGTTCCATAACGTTTTCCTGTGACTGTCATCAGTGGAACGCCGTCACATAAAAATGTAATAACTAAAACACACACTTATATACATGTAGCTAATATGGTTTCAGGTAGAAATACAGCAGCTAACAAGTACAAAAAGCGAAGTTTGCACCTTTGCAATGTGTGAATATAGTGTATGTGAGAAAGGTAGTGGCAGATGAATGTGATGCTGTGTGAATGAATGTAATGGTGCGTGTGTATTACTTGAAGAGTGTGAGTGATACAACGTTTTCTTTCTGTTTACATAGCACAGGGTCACGAGTACGAATATACACAGCTTCCAACACCTGCAATTGCTTGAAGAAACGTGCGCAACGAATCACACTAAACCAGGAATCGTCAAACACCTTACGACATTCTGGACTGGACACCAAATGCTTACCTTTCTCACATACACTATATTCACACATTGCAAAGGTGCAAACTTCGCTTTTTGTACTTGTTAGCTGCTGTATTTCTACCTGAAACCATATTAGCTACATGTATATAAGGGCGCGTTTGGTAAGTACGAACTAGAACAGGATTCACCAGAACAGCGCGTTTGGTTGGGACTGCACCTGTTCTGGGTCGGCCAGAACATGTTCTGCTTGCTCCGGCCTCGAGGCCGGAGCAGACCGAGCAGTTTCATTTTTTCACAGTGAAACCTAGCGGGAACATCGATTTTGTTCCCAAATGATCACGTGCATACGCTTTTGGGTTGGACTCGTCGTACCGTACAAAGTGACCATGGTGATCCATACACATTTTGAAGAATGCACCAAGTTTGGCACATTTTTCCACAAAAATGTGCTCTGTTTCTGGAGTAGCGTTTGGTTGGCATGGGGCTGCTCCATGTGCACCAGCTGTTCGATCCTGTTCTAGATCGTACCAACCAAACGCACCCTAAGTGTGTGTTTTAGTTATTACATTTTTATGTGACGGCGTTCCACTGATGACAGTCACAGGAAAACGTTATGGAACTTGACTTTCTTCATTTTTGCTGTTGTTATGAGTGCACAATTTATCTTATTTATTGCCATTTTTTCTATTATTATTATTTTTTTTACAAAATAGCCACAAACCATCATGGTTTTCCAAGCAGTCAAATATTCCTCCCGGCATATTTCACTTCTTACGGCTATATTATTGACTGCTTGTAAGGGGTCGTCCCTAAATTGATATCGAACTTTTTCACGAAACGGAATATTTTCGTTATGGAGTGTGAGGGGATTGACCAATTTCGTTTCAGAACTTAGCATTGATACATGTACACAGCCGTAGGATCCTAGGAGTAGGCGCAGCGGGTAATGCCAGCATTAACACTAGCATAATGGGGGTGTTCGCAGAGGGGGGGGGGGGGCATTGCCCCAGCATAATGAGGCATTTTTTGGAGAAACTAGCATAATTCGCGGTTTTCAGCATCTCATGGCCAGAGAGTCGTAGAATACAGTACTCCCTGATCAACCTGATCAACCTGATCAACCGCAAACTATACCATTGCGTACAACGATGTTGCCTTTGTTCGAGTAGAAGTAGTGTACCACCGGTCAATCAATTTTTGCGCGCATATCTTTATACCTACTTTGGAAACAGACTTTTTCGCGTACTCTTCTGCGATTTGCTTGCTGTATTTGGTCATTTTGGTCATATAATGCTAGCATAAAACGCCCTAAACTAGCATAAAAAGCAACGAGCATAAAATTATCCTGTTTCGCTTGCATTCTGAAAAGCATAATCGGCTGAGTTCAAGTACTAGCATTACCCGCTGAAGCCCAAACCTAGGAATGGCCCTTTCCCAAAGATGCCATCATTTTTCGCAGCTTACCCCAAATGGGCAGGCCGAAAATTCACCGAAAACGAGACTTATCGATCGCTAAGCTTTTCGCCGATTTTTCGAGGATTTATTTGAGAATCGACGAAAATCTACCAAACGTTGTTGCAAAGTGCGTTTACGAACGACTGATGTTGCTGCAAGCATGACAGCTCGAGCTCTCTACTTCAGTACTTGTAGTACTAGTGCGTTGAGGTCGTGTGACTCGTGTCATTTGACCTCCTCTCAAACAAACATTAGCCATTAGGAAGATCGTTACTAGTAAAACACTTCACTACAACATACAGTTGTGGCCAATTCCATATAGCTGAGCTGTATTTCCAATATCTCACCAATTTTGAAGCCAATATGCCAACAATTCGTTTAGCCAATTTTCCTATATATTCCAATTTTGAAGCCGATTTCGAACAATCAGCGGATTTTGCAGCTGAATCTGATGTATTTTTGAGCCGAGCAA